AATCCTTTTTCCATAGATAAGCTTCATCAACCCTAAAATGACAGGTTTCTTATCAGTGATGACAAACCCTTGACTGAGGGTTGATGAAGCTGATCAATGGAAAAAGGATTTATCAATAGAGAATAAACCCTTGGGTTTATCAGTTTGCAACGTATAACAAACCCTTCGTGGGTTTTTGAAGAAAAAAGGATTGATCTAGGGGTAGATCAGGTTGATGAACAAATTTTTCAGTCATAAACCCTTTTTGAGGGTTGATTAAACGCCGGATTTTTTTTAGAGTGTATGCCCAAACTGTCAAGACGTCGTTCTCATTGCAAATCGCTGATTCAAAGACGTTATTCACAGGAAAGTTTAAATACGGAGAGTGATGGTTCTGAGTCAAATGAAGAACTACAGATGGAAGTTGATGCTGATGAAAATATAGAACCATTGGATTTTAAGAACAAAGTATATCGTAACGATATGGCTGATTTATTCGAATTGTGTAAATCGAAATGTCCGAGAAAATACATCAGTGTTCTGTTATACATGACAATGCGTCATTTTGGCGTTAAATGGAAAGATTGCGATGATTTCTTAATCGAACTTGGAGGAACAAATGGTAAAACAGCTCATAAATGGGCGGATGTTTTTATATCTGGAGATTTTGATGAGTTTTGTAATGATAACAGAGGTGGAAAACGGGGTAATGAGTTTTTCGACTGCTTTCCTGAGATTGAAGTATCAGCGAAAACCTTTACTATGGAACGATGCTCAAGAAAAGCAGCTGATTTTACAGCCAACGATCTCGCTCTATTTATTGATGAACAATATTATCTGGTCACACAAACGGTGAAGGAGGCTGGTTCTCCTCTTGTTCGCTCAACAGCTTCTTGTCGCATAGATCTTCGTCGATGGGGTGCGCGTTTTGAACAAAATGGAAACCGACCTTATTTCGAGGGTCATGAAAGAGCCGACGTCATTTTACATCGTGATAAATTTATTAGCTACTTTCTCGAAAGAAAAGATCATTACTATACGATTACAGATGGAGACATTCCGAAATGGATAATACCGAGCAAAACTCCTGCTACTGTTCTTATCTGTGAGTGAACTTTTTGGGAGTAGACTTTCCTATTCGGAATCCTTCGATTTTTATGCGTCTAGTTCATGATGAATCTACCTTTAAATCTGGAGAAGTTTCTGCAAAACGTTGGTTCTTTGGTAATCAAGCACCTTTTCATAGTAAAGGACGTGGGAGATCAAACATGGTTAGTGATTTCATAATACAGCATCCAGCTGGGCCTTTTTTTCAATTGGATGAAAACGAATACAAGCGAGCTTTGGAGAAGTATCCCGAATTAGAAGCGCCGTCAGATATTAATTACATCCAACGAACAGCAACTGCTTCAATTCTAGTTGGCTATGATGCATATTTTGATAACCCTACGATTCTCGAACAGTTTGAGAGAATATTTAAAATGTTGAAGTACAAAGGAGACTTCAAAGATCATGCCATTGAATTTATTGTAGACAATGCTCGCACACACACAGCAAAATCACATTCCGTTAATGATTTTGGGAAATCGATTGGCACTCGGTGCCCAATCGAAACCATTAACTATGTTGACTCACAAGGAAGAAAACAAACGCTTGATTGTTATTTTCGTAGTGGGCCGAATCAAGGGCTGTCTAAAGGGCTGTTTGAAATTGCCAAAGAATTGAAGATGACTACAGCATCAAACTTGAAACTCAATGAACTACAAAAGTTATTAGGTGATCATCCTGTTTTCAGTACTGTAAGTTGCGTCCGCTGATATAATCTCTGACCGTTAAACTTAGAAAACTCTTTGCATTATTTTCCCTAGACTTCACGTCTCGAACAGTTGGGTGACCAGTATAATATTAAAGTAATGTTTTGTCCGAAGTTTCATTCAGAATTGAATGCGATAGAGGGCTTGTGGTGTAGTCAAAAACAGTTTGTTAGATCTCGTACGGATCAAACTTATGAAACAATGTGTCGTCTGATTGCGGAGTCGCGTCTTTATTTCAAGGAAAAGCAACTACAGATGAAACTCTTTCGTCGTTTTTGGCGTTGTCTCTCAGCGTACAAAGGTGGACAGACGTACCAACAGGTCTTACAACTTTTTCTCAGTAACATGGCTAGTGGAACTATAAAACAACACACTCGAATTAGCAATACTGGTTTGGCAGACAATTAACCACTAATGATTTTTCGGTGGGGTTTCTTTTTTTCAGAGCGGCTGATCTTTCAGCTCATTTTGTCCTATTCAAGCGCTACTGCATGTGTTATCAATCAGGAATATACTCTTCTACACTTACGAAAAAATGGTTTTCTTCAAGAGTTCTTTAGAAACTATTGAATGGAAGCGATGGAGAGGGAGGGTCTCTGGTTCTGGACATCTCATTACGACTGTGAAAATGTTTCCATTGAATTCTGCATCATTTTAAACCTATCTGAGGTTATTTTAATCGTATTTGAATTGAAAATGAAAAACTCGATCAAAATCAATACCCCCCTATTTTCTCAGTTTCCCAGTAAAAGTCAATTTTCTCGACAATAGAAAAACATTTTGAAAAAAGCTCTTCATACTTTTGAAGCTTGTGTTCTGGCGGTTCTAATGACGTGTGAATCAATGGTATAGCTCTTTCTAAAAAAAACTAGATAGGTTTACAAAATGAACCACTCAGTCTGAATATCCATCGGCTCGGTCGCCTAGCGACGGTCAAGTCCTCATTTCCAAAATGAACTAAAAATCGTTTTCTAAATCAGTTTTTATTGCTGATTCAGAAAAACTTAGTTTGAATCATCTATCTCGTGAGAGAACTTCAAAGAAATTAGTTTTATGGCATATGTCGATTTTCTCGTTTTTTTAGGCTCTCTCAGTATTTTGAGATTTTCTCCATGAAAGATGGAGTTTTGAGCGTCGGGAACGTGATATTCGTGATCAGCGTGATCAGACGAATCAGAATATGTATTGAAAAAATTTTAAAAAAATTTACTGTAATTTTGCATTAGCTGAACCTTAAAACTTAATTCATGAAACCAGATTATGAGAAAAAAAGAATTTCTTGAAAATATTTGATGAATTATTTGTTTTCATTTGCATAAAATTATTTGCATTTGATTTCTAAAATAATAAAAAGATTTTTTTTCGAAAGAAGTTTTTGTTTTGTTAAATGACTTACTGATATTGAAATTGTTTGATTTAGATTATTGTTGTTAAATTCTTCATGTTTAGAAGAATTATGTGAAATAACAAGATCAGTTTGATCTATTAAGAAAACAACTTAGAGAAAAGAAAAAGAATTTGTTATATATGAAAATGATTAAAATGAAAATATTGAGATTTTTCAATTATCGGTTCATAAAATGAATATGAAAGATTAAATAAAAACTTCGTCTGTATTATTTTGATTAATACTTTGTTTAATTTACAAGATTTGAAAAACCCTTCGAATAATTATAAAGGATAAAAAGTAAAATTCAAATCTTGTCTGAATTATTTTGTGTTCATTTATGTTTTTCAGAGGATCATTTTTATTTCTTTTTCTTTTCATAGAATTGAAATTGATATGACAGTATATTCTAATATATAATATTTTGTAGAATATTAAATCATTATTGGTGAATTATCGCTCAAATAAAGATTTCAATAAAATATTTAATGAAATTACCTGCCAAATTATTTGTTGCATTATTAACAGTTACCGAACTGGTTATTGATGCAATTTCTGATGAAGAATCATGAAATGGTGATGTAATGGTTTGAAATGGTGGCATCTTTTCACGTAAATGTATTATAAATAAATCATTTGATACTTTCATTTTATCAACGATTTGAAAATAAGTACCAGGAAGAAGAAGAATTTCATTTTCTCGACGATAATATGAATGTGATTGAATGAATTTTCCATATGAACATTCAATATTAAAAATAGTTTTTGTCTGATTATTTCCTATAAATGTTTCAATTCTTGATATTGTTTCAGTACAAGAACTAAATCCCCACCAGAAATGTTCTTCATTATATTGATCAGATAAATTACCTTTAACACCACGCCACACTGTTCCTTTATATGATGGAAGTTTATATAAGGCTGTAAGAAATAATTTTAAATAAGAAAACCATGGTATAAGAGAAGTTCGATCTTCTGAACGAAGTCTTTCATTAAGTTAATTGAAATAAACTTGGATATGATGGAGGCCATTGCATTGTATAGAGATGAATTGATGCTCATTCATCTTGTGTTAAACCATCTTTTGGTTGACGAGAATTTCTTAATGCCACTTCAATCATTGTATCACAATTATATAATAAAGACTTAATTGGTTGAATAGATTCTTTTAAAGATACAAGTGGATATTTTTCATATCCACTAATTGGTATTAAAATTTGTTGAGATTCTTGATCAGCATCAAGAAAACGTTGAGGAAGAGATTCTTCTTGTATCATTAATTAAGTTGATAAAAAAGAAAATATATTTATTGTAATGGTTGAATGATTTATCTTTATGCTTTTTACCTCACTAACATGTTTTATGTATTTATAGAACGAATAGCTTTTCATTTTCTTTGCTTATTTATCAAATATTTATCGTAATGAAAAGAGAAAAAGAACACGTGTTAAGTTTTATAATTATCTTTTTGTAATATTGAAAATAATCTTTCTTCATTATTAAATCTTTCAATTAGAATGTATTGATCAATTATTGACATTTATATTTTCTTTTTATTCTTCAAGAATTTCTTTATAAAAAAAAGTCATTTGGAAAATGTTTTATTAGAGTCTCCATACTAAAGAAAAAGAAAGTTTTTAATTATGAACGATTAAAGACAATAATGATTAGATATAGAATATGTTGGAAAGAAAAATCCTTTCCTGTTTTTTTTCAAATAAAATATTTAAAAATATTTGAAGAATTCAATTTTTTATTGATATTTCTATATCTTACACATTAAAATATTGAATAAATCTATTGAAAACAAAATTCTTCTTATTTTTATTTAATTTGTAATTTTAATATTAGATACAATTATATATTAAGAATTAATTAATTCAAATATTTTCATATCAAATGAATTTATTAAGAATGCGTTTATAAACAAACAGAAGATCAATTTATTTTCTTTCTTTTTTCAAAAAGAAAATCTATTAACAAAACTAAATGAAATCGTGTTTTATTGAGAATCTTTTATTTAATGATAAAACTCATTTTACATCACGACTATTGTTATTCACTGATCTATATTTTATGAAAAATAATCTTTGGATTTTCATTAGCAAAACTAAATATATTATGGAAAACATAGTTGAATGTTCATTGAATGAACTATAAGAAAAAAATGATCTACTAAGTTGTAGAAATTTACTTGAATCTTTACGTGATCTATGGTATTGACAAATTAGTTCGCATTTCAAATAAATGAAAACTTTTGTTTGATATTCGATTAACCAACGTTCTTCTCTTAAAACTTTCTTACGGTAGATCTTTTTTTTAAAACATTTGTTTCAACTTTTCAAGTCAATCCATATCTTCTTGTTTTCAATTTTATCTGAAATATCAAGTAATTAACTACGACGATGTTGGTTATATTTATAATCATGCTTTATGTATTTCAGGGTGATGAAAAAGCGAAAGAGGCTACTGGCCATATTCAGATGACTAAGGAATGTGAATCAAGAACAAAATATAGATATACGATCAATGTAAAAAACTTCTAGATCGTATTGGACAAGTTTGCAATTCGGGCAAGAGGATGAAAAAATACAGAATGGAATAAAAGGGGAGTAGAGAACGACGAACGAAACTATCTGCGCGTTAAAAGAGCGAAAAGTAAAAGTGTACAGTATTGCACAATAGTACATGGCATTTTCACATTTATGCATGAAAGAAATTTCATGACACATCGACGGTAGAAAGTAATGAAGAATTTCTTCGAATATTTCATCAGTTTTATTATATTCTTCGATGTGACTCTCGTAACGATTTGAAATATTTCAATCGATAAATCGTATATATTTTGTTTGACTGTCGTTTTTACGTCAAAATTTTAAAACTTCCAAGATGACCACTCTGGAAACTCTACCTGACGAAATATTTTTGATTATTTTTCGTTACTTACATAAAATGGATTTACTCTATGCTTTCTCAAAGCTCAATTCACGTTTTGAACAATTAATTACACCATGTTTCTATGAAATGAACTTCACGAGTCAGAATCCAACCCTCTGTTATCCGTACAAGCCATACTTGCGATTTATTGATTATGTTTTCAGTCAACATGGACGTAAGATTTGTTTACTGAAACTTGGTAGTGAACTTCAGTCAAAGTTGTTGCACCGTCGAATCACACAGTTTATCAATTTGGAATCAGTGGAGCTAATTAAATCTTATGAAAACAATGATTCTGACGAGTTTCTCAAAATATTACTATCGATACCATCGCTTTCTCATTTGAAACTAACAATAAAAAATGATGATATGCTAAAAACGATCGTCACCCAAGCAACGTCAAATTTAACGACACTTCACTTCGTAGATCTACCCGAATTTCAAATTGCTGATAGTTGTAGGAAATTAATTCATGTCAAACGTCTCTTCGTTAGTCTGCGTGATTACTGCAATAGAAATCTACCCATGCTCTTTACATTAATACCAAATTTGACCGAGGCAAACTTGGCAATAAAACAATTTCGCTTTAACAGTTCCTTTTCTGCAATTCACCTAAAAAAGTTACACATTGAAAAACGGAATTTTTTTCCAACAGATTACGATGAACTTCAGGAATTTCTTAGCAATTTTATTCAAGCTCCACTAGTTAAATTCACTTTAATTCTATTCGATGCGACTAGAGATTTCGGAGATTTTGATAAACTAACCGCTCTAGTACGTCATTTTCCGTATCTCGAAAGTTTCCATTATTATATAGAAAAATCGGATGAACCAGATACAAGATTTTTGCCTCATGTGGAACACGTTGAGGGTAAATACAATAGATACGCATTCTTCACTGAACCCAAATCACAGCCATTTGATTATGTTCGGAAAAATCGACATTTATCGGCTTATCTTCAATTTACTCAGCTCAGGGACATAAACGACTTTCGTACTTGCAAATCATTGGAAATCGATTATGATTCGTTACGGTTTCGTCTAACTCATTTATTTAAAATCGTAAAAGACTTGACTATATTGGAAAACTTGACTAAATTGTCGCTCAACTGCATGTTTCGATGGCAAGGCAAAGACCATTATTTATATCCATTAGTAGATACCGATGAATATTCTTTCTTACGATGGGTGTTAAGAATATCACCGAAATTGAATACACTGAGTGTTTGTACCGACTGTACAAAAGATATTATACAAGAATTACGAAAACTCACGTCATCACAAACTTCATCGAGAATTATTCATTTTCATGCAGAAGACATTGCTAAGTATTCATGTACTTATCATTCGACTTTCTTCAAGGAACTAGCTGAATTGTATCCGTCTCTGAAAACTTTGAGTTTTATCTGTAATGATGAATATCGAAAGAAGTTTCCCGAAACTTTGCTGGAGTTTATTGTTACTATGCGCAATTTGTTTCCGAAGTTAGTATGTATGACTTTAGGGATCATATATCAGATGGACTTGGATAGGTATATGAAAACATTAGATCAAAGCGGCTTGGTTGGAGAATCATTATCCTATGAAGTGATAATGTCTTATCCTCATAGGAGAAGAACAAAAATTGTTGGTTTGAATATTTGGGTATAATGATAGTTGTGTGAATGGTATTTCCATGACACTTTTTGTATTTTCGCGAAAGTATTGAACTTAATAAAAATCAGTTTGTCTGAATATTTCATTGCAATAGGGTGAGTGTAGGTGAAAATATGTCTGAAGAAGTGGAGCTTTTTCAAGTATGAAAAGCAAAGCAGTATCTAATTGTCGCAAACAGAATCTAGAACAACGCTCACAGCAATCGACGCTTTTCAATGGTTTTGGACACAGTATTATTCCTATCAAGATTGGTCTCAAACGAGAAATAATTTAGATCGAGACATTCGTATTCAGTTGACAGAAAGATGATTATCGCTCTATCACAATATAACACAGCTAGATCATCCATTAGATCGTCGTTTATCGATTGTAATACTGGTTTCATGATCGTATGGGTGTCATAGACTATCAAAACGTGGTTTACTGAGAATAACATATTGCTTGTTACCGATATTTAACAAAAGATTAAACTGTGTCGACGAAGAATCCGTTTCGAAAACCATGACTAATCATTAAACCTATCACGATTTCAATCGTGGTGAATCGAAGAGATTACCTGTTGTGTTACCAAAGGGAAAAAATTGTCGAGTATTTCTTGTTTCGAAATACTTGTTGTTTCTGTGAGGAGAAATATTCCATCGAACATCGTGGATCATATTGTTGACAGATTCGAATGGATTCCGATGTTGTAAAATCGATACATGATGGGATGACGTGTAAAACAATCGTCATTGGAGATGCAACACACTGATGAATCAATTTGATAATATCTTGATAAGTCGTTGTCGATGCTTGACCGTGTTCTTGTGCTCGAACAATTCCTAAAACCAACGAACGAAATCGATCTCAGCTTCAATACGGATCGATAGAATTCACGAACCTGGTAAATCAATTAGTGTTAAATCATCTTGAATGTCTTGTTTATAAACTGTAAGAAAAATGGGCGATGAAGAAACACTGCTTAAATCCCCAGTCAATCGATTCGTGCATTCAATTACTGCAGCAGAAATTTGTGAAAGATCTGTTAAGATCGATTCGGCGACATCTTTGCATTGAATTGTAGCATAATCATTTCTGTTCGACGGAGTTCGCTTCAGACGCAGTTCCAATGGACAACGTGTACACATACCTTGTGCTCGAGGCAACTCAATACCGCTAATCGCCTCGAGTATCGAAGATTTTCCTACCTAAGAAGAAAATCGAAGTACTCGATTGTTGAAAAGCTTAATGAAATAAATCTACTGATTGTTCACCAACGACGACGATTTGCGGCAGAGAAAATTTCTCCTGTCGCAGGATTTCTCGCATTTTGTCGACTTTCGCGAGCAATCGTCGACATTCTTCAGATCCGATTTCTTTGTTGATCACATCGATTGGATTGTAATTCGTCATTTTGAATATTCTGAAATGAGACTCATGAGAAAATTTCGCCGATGTTATATTATCATACCACAGACCGTCTTATCAGAATGAAAATCGATAAGTGTAAGTTACGCTGTGTTTGCGGTACGAAACAAAAAAAGAATGAATGTTGAAGTGTTTCGTCCGTTCTGAATTTGTTTTTCATTACAAACGAAACATAAAACACTTTTGTTTCACTTCTCCTGTGTAGATTTGAATTCATCAAACGTAAAACAAGTCTCAAAGCACTTCAAGTTTGAAAATAAATACAATTTCACATAAACCAAAGCAGTCTGTACAGAATCAAGATTTTCTCCTATACTACTCTGCGGTTCCACTAGCTTTGCATATTCATTTAAAATAGGATTTCGAGAAAGGTTCAACTTGATGAGTATTTACATAGCGAAAAGCGATGTGGTGCTCACAGAAACAATGGGAAGTACTGTATTCTTTTGTAATGCATCAACAAGATATACTAGGTCAGTAGATCCGCTTCCACAGTAATCAAGATCTAATATGATGAGTGTCTATTGTGTAACAACAAAAAGAAAAAATGAGAGAGATGAAAAGAAAATTCGAACTACTGCGTTGTTTAGCAATCCATAGGCAAACAACTGAGCACCAACATCTTCGATTTGATTACTTCCAAGTATCAATGTTTTCAGTGTCGACAAATGAAGCAGAATAAAAAGGCAGAAGACATGGAATCGTCAAAAACGAATTACTGCATTTCTGGCTTCATTAAATTGAAGATGTAATGTTGCGAGTATTTATTGTATAGGAAATTACAATAGAGGGGCGACAATAATAATGGTCTGAATCACCAAATTCGTTTATAAAGCTGCAGCAAAGTGCTGTGTGTCGATAACATCAATAGCATTTCTATGATGATTGAGTTCGGTGAGTGCCTATGTGTATGTAGGGAAAGGTATTATTGAGAAAGAAGAACAAGATCAAAACGACTGTGTTAGTGCGCCATATGTACGAAAAGAGAGATAAGAGATAAAATGTGAAATGAGAATAATTGTATCAGTCTGTAAGAAAGCAGCAAGATGTTGTGCGCGAGCATCTTTGATTCCATTGAATCCGAGTTTTAACGTGTCGATTGTTTACGTTTATAGAAGAATAATAAATGTGAATGTGTTCAGTAGCAGATTTTTCTCAAGATAGATTGAGCTTATTGCAGAACATGACAGTCAAAAGAAAATGCGGACGATCAATCACCACTAGTTGTGAAATATTTCTATAGGAACCGTTTGTCTTCTTCAAACTAATAATTCATTAAAACGCTTACGGTGTATGAAAGAAAGATATGTATTGACGATAGAGTTAAATCTTTTGTAGACACTGTGAAATGACCAGGAGATCTGTCTGGACTCAAAACTATCGAGACTTCGATCAGTCAATTAAGCAATGGAAGAAAATAAAAATATCATCACTGTTTATCATGGACAATTAATAAACACTCAAGAATTTGAGCAGAAGTTACGAAATTTCAATGTATTTCTTTCAGTCACTAATTTTCTTTCTACAACAGTCTCAAAACAATTAGCGGCGATATTCGCTGGGAATGATATACCGAAATGCAGATGCAATGTATTTTCTTTCAAATCGATATTGATGTGTCCATGAGGGTGGGTGAGATGATGATTATCGAAGTATTGCTGCGATCTATCTAGAGCAAAAACATGATNACTGATTATCAATCTTTAGTTAATCAACTCTTGTGTGCGATGAATATGGAACAAGAATTTCGTTACAGACGCTTCGCTTGTGATGATTTTCGTATATCTACAAGCACACCATTGCCAATTGTCACGACTGCAACGCGTCAATCATCATTAATGCTGATAAACAACAATGCTGATTCGAAGAGGCAGGAAACAGATTTTATGTATTCACAAATCGCAAGAGATATTCTACTGGCCATGGATTCAAGCCAAGCTGAAATGATTAAGTTTTGCCGTCAGCAATACATTGATGATGAAGCACAGCTACGTTATATTCAGGAATTCGAAGAAAACTATCGTCCGAATAAAGCGCTCTATTGGTACACACGTAATACATTTCTTTATCGTCTATTAAACAAAGCTTTACGAGAACAAGACATTGATATATTGTATTCACTACGATATTTTATCAAAGATCTCCACGAACAATTGACGGATCTTCATTCTAGACAAGTGTCAACACAAACACCGGAAGAAAGTAAAAGTATCATCACTGTTTACCGTGGACAGTTGATAAACACTCAAGAATTTGACCAAAAGTTACGAAATAATCTCAATGGATTTCTTTCTGTCGCTAATTTTCTTTCTACAACAGTATCAAAACCATTAGCGACGATGTTCGCTGGCAATGGTACTGAAATGCATATGCAAAGTATTCTCTTTCAAATTGATATTGAATCGGCGATAAATAAGTTTCCCTATGCAAATATTTCATCAGAAAGTGCGTTCGGCGACACTGAAGGTGAACTTCTATTTACCATGGGTGCAGTTTTCCGTATACTTTCGATCGAATCTACGGGAACGAATATGTGGTACATTCATATAAAATTAACCGGTGAAGAAGATGAGGAACTAAAAGCTCTAATCGATTACATGAAGACTGGTTTGGATAAATTTACACCAGAAATTCATTTAGCGAGATTATTGTACGAATTAGCACAATATACTAAAGCAATTACTTATCTGAAGAAAGCCATGCAAGATGCGCAGTTAATGGAGGATCCGATTACACGTGTTTATATTTATAATGAACTAGGAGATATTTATGCTTCTATGAACGATACGGAGACATCTGAAGAATATTATCGAAAAGCAGTCGAAATAGATCTCAAACACCTTTCTGATCATCATCCAGCGGTACTCGTTATTTACAGTATACAAGCCACATTACATAAAAGACATGGTGATTTAGAACAGACTCTCTTCTACTATAATAAACTGTTAGATATCAGTCTACAACATCCAGAACAGGCTGAATGTTGTAATGCTGATAGTGATTATCGCAATATTGCTGCTGTTTATCAGGAGCAAAAGCGTGATTTAGAAGCTATGGAAATGTGTCGACGAGCTTTGGAAATTCAGTTGAACACTTTGCCACATAATCATCCGTCATTTTCTAAAACGTACCAATATATGTCAACATTTTATGCGCGACAAGAAGACTATAAACAAGCCAATGAATATCTTCAAAAAGCCTTGGAAATTCAAAAACATTCTCTTCCTCAGGACCATCCTGATTTTATCACAACATACAACGATTTATGCGTCTCATACTATAAACTTGATCAATTTGAAGAAGCTTTGGAGTGTATGAAAAAAGCAAATGAATTACGATTGATATACTTGCCAGAAATAAAGCATTCCAATCCAGATAGTGCCAGCAATAAGTATCAAAAACGAATTCAAGATGCTGATGAATTATTAGAAATTATCCAACAAAGAAAACAAACCAATGCTTAAATAGATTCTTATACAATCATTGGCACTTATTCTAATTCATTTACAAGTCTTTTCATATCCTTTGCTTTTTATCTCTTCTCAATGTAAAAGGCAACTTTTGATAGATAATTATCTAACTGTTTATAAATCGAAAGTTACTGACGGTGAGACAGTATCATTCCTACAGATTTTTCATCATCGAAAAACAGAATTTTTCAAAATGTTCAGTTCTTCGAATGGGTCTATGAAGAAATACAAGAGAACTTCAGTTTATAACGACGACTATGCGGTTGCTTTCTTCGCTCCTGATTACTATATCCTTCCTTTTATAACATCGTATGAAGATCTTAAAATTTCCAGTATAATACATCAAATTGAGTTTTTTTTATTCTTTTCTACGTTAAAATGACAATCTGTGTAACACTGGTAATGCACCACATTATGACTCAGAGGGAAATACCCAAACCTATGCTTTCAGTACGACAAAAAATCCAATGGAAATTTACATTCATGACGCATCGGATTTTTTCCTTTCCTGCACAGAATGTGTAACAACATAAGTTTATATATTCGAGACAACCATCAACTAATACAACCGAAAAGAAACATGCAATCGTTACTAGAACAGAAAAAAAAGGACAAACCTTTAAAACGCTTACTCACGACGTCGACTAGTCATACAAACCATTGTCAATCGAACAGAATTGCGCAACTGGTTAAGGTTGTCCAATGTCTTCGATCGATCTATTTAGCTAATCCCGACTCTCCTTATCTAAGTCTTGATGAACTTGAAAAACAATGTGAAGAGCTCTCATTAGATTCCTCTTCAAAGTACTGGCTCGCCTCTCATGAACTTCCAGATAATCCACGCATTCATACGCATGTTGTTGGTAATTCTGTGAAATTTCGGTATAAACCCCCGTTGCACCTTGATCATGGAGAACGACAAGTACGGTCACTTCTCAGCCTGTTCAAAACTTGCCATCAAACGTGTGCCAAGCCAATCACAGTCGAAGATGTGCACGATTCGACGCGAAATGCAGACAGAAGCATTCAGAGATTGTTAGACAAAGACAAAATTGCCAAAGTTATGGGTCGAGATAGAAAAGAGATTCTGGTCTACAAAGATCACGACAAACAACTACATGCGGAATTCTTGAGTCTGTTCCGAAATGTTTCGATGGATGATTTGACTCATGAACGGATTCGTCGAGTTCTTGTTAATCATGGACAGACGGCATATGAGGTTAAGGGTCGAAGTGAAGCTGTAAAACCTACAGAAACTCGTCGGGAACGGTCAAAACCAACGAAAATCAGACATAATGAGCACGTCTCGAGTCAGCTAGAGTTTTACCGAAATTGAACTCTTATACCATTGTTTGATTTTAGCAGTTTTTTGTAGTTTGTATGTAATATGTATTCTTCACAGCTTACCTAATAAATAAAAAAATACGTAACTAAAGAGTTCTAATTATTCTGTCTGCCTTCCTATTTTGGTTCGGCCCCCGTGGCTCACGATTATGAAGGAGCTGATAAAACCAATTTGATTAGCACAATAAATATAAGGGAAAAAATCATTTCTACAACAATGAGCGATATTTGACGTATGTCATATCATTCTTTTGTGCTCTGTGGGTTCATAACAGGAAACGATGATAAGAGTCACGAATAACTATGAATGGGATTATATGAATTTTTCTCAAAACAAGTATTATTCACATCAAATTCATTAAGTTGACCGTTGATACACACGAGTGAATTATCTCTAGTCTCACTTGCGTGGCCTGTATCCGTATGTTCATATCAGAGTAGGGGTGAGTGTGGATGTGAGTATGTTTCCAGTTCTCTCTCTCTCTCTCTCTCTTTCCCTTTCGTTGTTTCCTCTTGTGTAATCGTTTGTTTCACAACACTACTCTTTTCTTCTTTCTTTGTGCTTTTCGTTTGTTTTCTCGTTTCGTTGTATTCACAAACCTTTGACAAGATTCTAGCCTTTCGACAGTAGCTATGAAGACAACATCGGCTCATTCAACGATTCCTGCGCTACAGACTGTTGATCCTATAGCCACAACATGAAAACCTTATCGTGATCAAATTGTCCCTTTAGAGTCTATATGGTCCGAGGGTCCACGGCTTGCTAATAAAAAAAGAAGTCTTTGTAATTGTGATCTGAAACAAATACTACTTATCATCACTAACTTCGCCAAAAATATTCGCCGACGATACGGGTACTTATACATGATTTTATTGCGGCCTTCAATACTCATTACGATGCCGAGAAAATTATCATGTCGGCAACTAACGACTTATACTCCTCTCATCAGAAAACAAACCAAACATTCGTCGAATGGAAGGAAGAACTATGCGAGAAGTTACGTCATTACGAACTGAACGTTGAAGAATCGGCCTCAGCATCGCGTGATACTTACGTCCTGAGAATTTTCAGTGAAAAAATTCGACAAAGATAATTCAAGGAAGAGAATCGTAATATCGAAGCAATTGAACCCCGTATTCAATTCGCAGAACGACTTGAAGACGTACGATTATTAATAGTAGTTATTTTCATTTGAATTGTAAGAAAGCTCTTCAATTCATTGGAACATCTTTAGACGAATCCTCTGTCTGACAAGCAGAACTCGATTAAGTTTTATTTTCGTTTTAGGGCGAGACAGACATCAGTAAACGTCTAGTGAAATTCACCAAGGAACTTCAGCATTAAGGAGTCAGGGTATCTTTTATCTTGCATGGATGAGTTCGTCGGAGCTACGATTTTGAATTAATTAACGAAAGAATGACTGTGCTTTTGGAAGTATATTCTATGTATTGTTTACGAGAAGAAAAATCCAGTGAGAAGGAATGCTCGTTTCAAAAAACACTTTTCTTCAACAACGTGCGCAATGCATTTTCACCACTAAACGTTTACAAAAAGAGAATAGACTGCATGCTTGCATTGCGATGCATTAAATTATAAGTAAAAGCACGTGTTACTACATGTACACACCAAACTCTTTTATTACAATGAATTCAGTTTGTATCTAGGTAAGCAATAACATGAATATAAATGAAAGTTCTGCTGAAATATTTGGAAATTCAATTGTCCTATACTATAATGAATAGATTGGTGAATATATGAGACGCATTATGATCTATAACTGCTGTCGCGTATTTTTCTCCTAAAGGACAAAAGGAATTGAATCTGGTCTGTGTATATCAAATTTTCGACTGTTATTTTCTCCTGTGTCTTCTAGATTTTGTATTTGTGTATAAATTAACTCGCTGATGATATTTCGTCGATCATTGTTTATTAAAATAAATTATATTCTAATTTTTTTATCAACTATTCTAACTACATTAATTCTTAATAGTTTTTATAAATATTTTTACGTAAAACATGGTGCAATATTTGAGAGGTCAACTCTCACCCGAAAATCAAACCAATCAATCTGTACAAATACAAGCAGCAATTGGATTGTGCTAACTACAATATTCTATCCAACATTCGCTGTGAAACGTTTGTTATTACTTGATGATTGGATGCTAGTTATTATTGCTGATCGAAAAACTCCGTTGGATTGGATTTCTCATGTTCCTTTTAAACAACGTCAAAAACTCATTTATTTAAGTCTGTCTGACCAGAAACGATTAGATTATAGTATTGTTCAGTATATTCCTGAAAATTCTTATGCTCGAAAAACGATTGGATATCTGGTAGCAATACAATGTGGAGCGAAAGTGATTTTTGAAACCGATGACGATAACGTTCTTAAGGATTTGTTTATCAAAGTTCTACCAAAATTGAGTTCTCCAATCGATATATCGAAAGCAGCTTTTCATGGAAAACGGTCTTCTTTCGTGAATATCTATGGATCATTTGGTGAACCGAATATTTGGCCACGAGGTTTTCCTCTTCAACAATTCAAAAATGTAACTGAAGATGGTTGGAGTTCGTTACGACGTAATGACGAGCCGATTTCTGCATATATTCAACAGTTTTTAGCCGATCTCGATCCTGATGTTGATGCAATTTATCGTTTGACAAACTCATTTCGTCTGGGCCACATCCAATTCGATCCTCAACAGACTCCTATTGCGCTAGATGCATTCACCTTTTCACCATACAATACTCAGAATACGATTACTCATTATGAAGCCTTTTGGGGTTTAATCCTGCCGATCACGACAACATCTCGTGTATGTGACATATGGCGAGGATTTTGGGTACAGAGGCTTCTTTGGGATATTGGAGGAAGACTCGTTTTTGCAGGGCCGACTGTGGAGCAAAAGCGAAACGTACATAGTTATCTGAAAGATATGAAAGACGAACAACAAATGTATTATGAAGCTGCGGCATTTGTTCATTTTCTTGCTTCTTGGAAATCTTCTTCAACATCAGTATTTGAAAAAATTCGAGCTCTAGCAAATGACATTGCGCAACAAGGATTTTGGCAAATGAGTGAAGTAAATTATATCGATATTTGGCTTCAAGATTTGCTTCGTGTTGGTTATCAACCTCCACCATTCAGACTATCACCAAAAGATAACCGAAAACCGAAGAGGCACCGACGTGCTGCCGTATGTGTAACAGGAAAACTATCTTTACGGAGAGATACATGGATAAAAGTTGAAAATCAATTAAGAATCAGATTCCGTGGTGAAATAGACACATTCTATTATTTATCATCATCCATGCCAATAAAGTCATCTGAGCTTGACAATGAAACATTCGCTCGAAACGCAACAGTAGAAATATTGAATGCTCGACGATATTTAGATTATCGACATTCAAATGTATCATGTCAACGAAATTTATCTTCATCTGACGATGTCCTGGAAAATTATCTCTATGATGTTTGGGCACAAGCGGAGTGTTATAATTTAGTGGTATCATATCAGAAACAAAACAATGTTAAATATGACTTGATTGTTCATGTCAAATATAATTCGATCTTTGTGAAAATGCCAACATCGTACGAAAGAAAATCTCCTTTTGATGCAAACAAGACAATTATCCTTTCTCTTGACATTCATCACTCGAAAGTCAGTAATCAATTTGTCATTGGCCCTGCGAAGAAAATGTCATACTATATGCGTCGATGGTATATTTTGGACGCTTGTTTATTACAATCGATGGATTTAGAAAAGCAATTAGCATCGATCTCTCAAATAAACAAAGTCATGATATTAGACAACGAAACGATCACCGATGTACATCTCATGACAAAGGGCCATATAACACTCGAGTAGAGTTTTTCCACAGCATTGACATTGTAGAAAGGAAGCGCTATCTAAAGCATAACAATGTGTCACAGTTGAAACCTGCGGAGAAAGGCAAAGTGGCTTCAAAATTTCTCAAACCAATTCATGAGAAGACTTATACGGTAATCACGATTTCATTTTTCTGATAGATCATTGTGCACGCAAAAGTGGTATAAATCACTTTTTTGTTTCATAAATCTGTTTTCAAAGAACGCAAGTAGTTAAAAAGAATGATTCGCAGCAAAATCCATCCCAGACCAAAGACAATGTTTCATCCTATTCTGTGAAATCTTCCGCATATCTACTGCTGCATGTAAGTTCAATGAATAGCAGATTTATATTACCGCGTTCGTTCTTTCTGCACTATGATGATTCATGGATGAATACAGTAGCACAGTGAGATACGATTAAACTCATGGGAAATGTAGTGACGAAAGAATAATCTAAGAAAACTTATAACCTTGATTTTTCCGGTATGTCAGAAAGATTCTCTCAAATTCAAAAACTGTATTATTTCCATCGCGCTAGAAAGGAAATCGTTGTGTTTTTTGTACTAAAGTATATCCACATATTTGGATTCATTATGAAACTCATTATTAACAAGAGAAAGGTACAATAAGTATCTGTAGTTCAATGGTCAGAGCACTTGATTGCCAGTCAAGAGATTTGGGTTCGACTCCCAGCAGATGCATTTACTTTTTCTGTCGGTGTCGTATCGTTACATCATCTGATGATGCAATTTGTTTTTTATCACAACTTTCATCGATCACTTTGAAAAGTTTATTTTCTTCTCGTTTATGATGGTATTACAAAAAAATCGACTGTTTTTTTTTATTCTCGTTTGATGTTTTTAAAAGTGTTACTTTGTGTGTTTATTTGTTGACCTTTCAAAAAGTTAATTTGGTATGTTTCTGGACGACCAGGAGGTTGAACATTAACAGTTGATGGTCCTCGACCAGCTCGATACGATTGAAATGCTTGTTCGATTTGATTTTGAACGAGCATTTCATAACGTGTCCAAGCTCCATGCTCGTTACAGTAAAACCAATTTAAATTCGCTGCTGGCTTTTCCAAAGGCCGCCGGTCGATAAGTCGCGTATATGTTGTTTTCATGTTCACTTGTCGATTTTTCTTAAAATCAATTTTATACTCTTGAGGAGCGTCATCAACATAACGAGTCACTGGTGGTGTATCAACTTCCGATAAACCACGATTGAACTTCCACGCTTCATAGAAATTCTCGAGTATTTCATTGATCGTGTCATTATATGGTTCGAAATTCCCGTTATCTTGATGCCAATACCATCGAAAAGGTGCATTCCAACAAGGCTCGTTATCAACATATTGTGAAATATCACGAGGAAAGGGTGATAACTGACTCGCAGCATTGGACCCATAAGTAACCACCAAAACGGGAATGTTAAATGCATATGTCCAATCAACTGGATTGTCAACGACATAGCAGAAGCCTTCTGATTTTGTTACCTGAGTACATTGAAGAATGAATGCAATGATCATTTGACTGAATCCACCTTGACTTCCACCTTTCTGCGAATAACTGTGAGAGATAAGAGCCGTAACTCCAAAGTATTCACCACGACCATAAGCTTGACCTGAACGACGGCGAGGATCAAAGCCCGTTTGACAAATTGCATTAATCGATTGAAATGGACAACCATGATAAGCGAAAAAGCCTTTTGCTAAATCCGGTGGAAACGAATGACCCAAAGTTTGATTTGCTTTGTAAAATCGTATTAATGATTTGTATTGCTTTTCTAAATAAGGATTTTCATCAATACGACCAATGGGCTGTACTGTGTTATCAAGTGGCCAGTTATCTAGAACAAATTTTCTTGCCGCAAGAAAGAGTTGTGGTAAGAATTCTTGCCGTTTCTTTTCTTCAACAAGTTGAGCACATGTGCGGCCCATATGCAGTTCATCATCAATAACTTGACATTTCGGACAAATGTTTTGTCCGCATGTTAAACAAGTTTGATAACCATTGCTCAGTTTAATCAAACCTTCACATTCAACGGTCGGACAGAACACGCGATCATCTTGTTGAGCATTGTTTGTTAAATACTCTTGAATTGAACATTTTAATAGATATGTTAATAATTGTGAGTTGTTATCAAAGATATTTTTGATATCGTAAATGTGAATGTTGGTTTGACAATCTCTACACTTAAGAGGAAATTGATGAGTCGCGGCCAGATATTGCGCAGCACATCGACAGTAAGCATGTCCGCAAATTCGAAATAAACTCGTTGAAGTTGACGATTGTTGTTTACAAAATACACATCGACGTTCTTTTCCCAAAGTATTCCTGTTATCATTCTCTTCCTCGTCTTCATCTTCGTCTTCTTCACTTTCTACATTATCTGTACTAGCAATAATCTCATCCAAGAGTTGAAGAACTTCATTTTCACATGTATTCAAATCTATTAAAGAAACATCTGTTTTACCAACAATTGTTATTGTCGTAGTTCTAGGATTAAATGAAACTAGACAAGAATTCGATGCCCATTTTGAAGCTATTTGTCGCAATCGAACTGATGCTGCTTTTTGTTGACCGAAAAAAGTTGCGACTACCGGACTAAGTTCGTGCTCATGAAAACGTTTGTCAAAGCTATCGGAATAATCAGCAATACGCCGCATCAATTGTCCTTGAGACGTTTGTGGACCTCGAATTTCAATATTTGTAAGATATTTGTTTGGATTTATCTGTAATTTTAATTCCACCGCCCACTGTTGTATTTGACCAATTTCTTCTAATTCACGAAAGAGTTGTCTTTGTCGTTCGGTTTTTACTTTGATATTAATCGGTGCAAAGCTTTGGGCTAGCATAGATGCTGCTAAACTTGTCTTTTGAGGACTTCCGTGATTGAAAATACAACGTTGACCAAACGTTTTTGGAATATCTCTACATTTAACTTGAACATTGAATTTGTCACAAATGGCGTTGAGTGTTTGTTGGAAATTTGGATGTAGATCCGTGCGAAGAATAGTTATCGTTGCTGATCCATCGACATTCCAATCTGTTGGTGGCGAAGAGTATATTTTCAACGCTACTTCACGGCTCACCGTAACAACACGATAGAAATGTTTCTGATTCTCCGTTGCATCAGAGTCATCCGCTTTTGTTACTTTAGTTTGAATGTATTTTTGTTTTGGACTGTTGTTGCTCGTAACAGTAATCGGAAACATTGTTTGACATAACTGTAGTGTATAAATCGTCGCAGCTCGATTACATTGTTCTGCATCATGGAACGTTAGCTTGGCCCATGCACTTGCATCATTTTTTGTACGTGCAACGTAGATATCCTTAGGACTTGGTCCGTTAGATGTTTGAAGACACTGACGGAGAGAATTTTCATCGGCTGTTGGAGGTAAATTATCTAATTTCAGCGATGACTCTTTTCTCTTTTTCTCATTTAATGAAATGCATTTCATAATATGTTCAGCGCCATATTGTTGAATAATATCTTCCGTTGTGATATTTGATGGAACTTGAATAGTCAGTTCTCTACCCCACGTTTCTTTTTCATTATCGCGAAATTGATTTTCTTGTTCTGTTAAGTGATAACGAGGAATTTTATTCATCGCACGTCGATATACATCTTCGTTTTTGAAAACGAGAGAAATTTGTTTGCTTTCTGTTTCACCTTTTGTTGTATAAAATTTATACTCTTTAACTTCATTCCATTCGATTCCAGCCATCTTCATCAGCCAGTCTTTCAATTCATTGGGCGTTTGACTTGAAACGTTTTGAAGGTTCATTTTCAAGGCCTCGGTGGTTTTATTAATGTGTGTGCAAAGTAAGCCGCTTTGAAAATTTGCTCTGATTGGACCGCAAGGCAATAGATCATAATGGTCGTAAAGTTTCTTTTGAACTTCATTTTGACAATGTCGAACCATCGGTATGAATTCTGATTTGATTGTTTCAGTACCTGAAATCGTAAACCGACATTGCGATCGATCATATTGGTAGACAAGCCATTTTGCCCATGATTCTGATTGGAACGAGTTCAATTTCTGACGAAAAAGCTTTTCAAACTCTGGTCCACAATTTTCAATTGTGCATAAATCCTGTATTGTTGATTGTACAACAACATCCGATCGAGATATCGGATGAAGTCGTTCGATGATATGGTTTCCGGATGGTAATTGCGTAATTGTCATTGCTACAAAATGCTGGTAAACTTCTCGATCGGAATCTTTGTTAAGTTTTTGCATAAACACACTCGTATTTGTGATCTTCGCACGAATATCAGTGGAGATTAATCGAACGCCTTCGCTCGGCAATTGCGGAACGAGCAGATACCCACACTGTTCGGGGAAAAGCTTTGCGAGATGATAACCGAGAGTTTTAACCATATCTGTGCACATTTCGTCACGTGGTTGAAGCCAGCGCACGTTTTTCAGCTGTTTGATAATCGAGCCGCATGATGTTGAAATATGTTGTAAAATTTTATTATTTAAACCGTTTTCATTACAATACTTGATTCGACATATACAATATCGGCTTATTTTATCACATTTTGAGCATTTTCCTTTGTTTGGTCTACCGCCGGCATTTTCCCAATCATTGTAAACTGAATATAAATGAATCAGATCGCTTTTCTGATTTTGTGCTTGAAGTGCCACTCGTGCTTTGGCTGCTTCTTTGTCTCCGCCCATGAAAAAAATCGTACCCGGTGCTGATAGAATTGCCACGATCGCGACGACGACACCCAATAGACTTTTATACTGGGAATAGACATCGACGATAAACGAACTTAGGCGAGGATCAAGGGAAAGCTCAGTAAACAATTCGCCTCTCTTCGTGATCGTTTGCTGATCGTCCATGCATTGAAGTTGTGCAAGAAGAGCAAGAGAATTGTTTAAGACATCCAAGGGTGGTGCATCCATGAATGGGAAAGTTTTCGGATCAAGATTTAAGCGTACTAATTGTAGAAGAACAAGGTCGAGTGATGATCGGAGAATTTCTGGTTCGATATTTGCTCGTGTTAATTCCGAATTTCCATACAGACGAACGCAATGACCTGGCGCAGTTCGTCCAGCTCGACCTTTGCGTTGATCAGCAGATGATCGTGAAATACGTACAGTTTCAATCACAGTCAAACGACGTTTAGCATCGTAACGCGCTTCTTTTGCTAATCCAGAGTCGATAACCAATCGAACATTTGCAATGGTCAATGAAGTTTCAGCAACATTCGTACAGAAAACCACCATTCGTTTATCTAGTTCGTTAAATTTGATCACTTTTTCTTGGTCTTCTGGCGATTGTGAACCGTACAGTGGAAGTGTAACACAATCGTCGGGAAGTTTAGATTTAAAGATTTTCATTGCTCGTTCGATTTCACTTTGGCCAGGGAGGAAAACGAGTGTATGTCCTTCGTGTTGTGGATAGAGTTCAAGAACAGACGGAACGACATGCGACACGATGAACTTCTGATCGGAGCAATCGGATGGTGGTGGTTTTTCAGCATCGGTTACTTTAAATACTCGGCCCTCGACTTTCAGAGGTGTATTCGTAGAACGACCGAAAAATTGTAGAAAACGACTTGGATCAATCGTTGCTGACGCAATCACAACATAAAAATCATCGGGACGTTTTGCTAGCAGGAGTTTCGAGATGCCAATAACAATATCGGTATTTAACGAACGTTCATGCGCTTCGTCTATGATTAAGACGCGAATATGCTTCAAATCAGGATCACGTTGACTTTCTCGAATCAATGCTGCATCTGTCATGAACATAATTTTTGATCCAGCCACTCGATTGCCATGACCGATTTGGTATCCAACCGATTCACCAACTGATTGTCCATCAAATTCTTCAGCAACACGACGAGCCAATGAAAGAGCAGCAACAGCACGCGGTTGAGTGCAAACAACAAGTGAACCGAAATGTTCAACAGCATACTGAGGTAATTGTGTACTTTTACCGCTACCAGTTTCTGCAGTAACAATCAAAACATGTTCCTGTTCGAGACGTTTACAAAATGTCTCTCGATGAGAGAATATTGTTAACGAAGCCTTCTTACGATCATTAAATCTTTGTTCCAAAGTTTTTAAATTTCTGCTTTTTGTCTGTTGCGGATTTAATTTACGTTCCGATGGATGAATTTTCAAACATTGTGAATCCTTACAATCATTACCGTCTTCGCACGGATTCCATTCTGGTTGATGAAGGCGAGTACAGTTGAAGTTTGGACATGCATCGGGTTGATCACATATCGATGATCGTTCATTCGGGTGAGTCAGTTTGCACGAAATTTCGCGACATTCGGCTCCTAGTAAACAAAGAAGTTTACTACGCTCCAACGGATGTAAACATAGACAACCGAGATTTGTACATTTTTCTTTATTGGCACATCGTCGAGCTCGAGTATTTGGATGTAATTTCTGACAAGTCCACAATTTGCATTTTGCACGAAAACGACACAGCTCCGCGCGAGCTTTTGGATGTAAGAATTTACAATCTGCATTCTTGCAATTGCCACCACTAAGACATTTTGTTTTTCGTTTGAAAGAATGACTCGCCGTACAGTCGTAATCTTCACAGTTTTCTCCATCGACACACGGATTCCAGCCATCGGGATGCTCAAAGCGGCAATCAATGTTAAAGCATTTCATTTCATAACGACACATATTTGTTCTTGTATTCGTAGATTGTATTGATGTGTTCGAGCTTGTTGATGAACACGAATCTCTTCTATCACGCAGTAAATTTCTTTCATGTGAGCTTTGCACGACTCTTGCAGTTCGTTCTTTTGAGTGGCCTAACTTGCATACCCGGTTTTCGCATGATTTATAATTCGTACATTGCTCATGACGATATTTACATGTGTCACTATTATATCGACATTCACCTTTGTTTGCCCAATGGCATAAGGGTCGTCTATCTTGTTCATCATCTTTCTCCTTCAATAATTTTGTTGTGGAGGGTATGGCTAAAACAAAATATCCGATTTCAAAGCGATGGTTATGGTAGAATAAATCAAGTTACCTGTTGTTGTCTTTGGTCGTTGGGTTCTGAATATATATGGATTTCTATCAGGAGAATTTTTCGCTTCGACATTAGTTCCAATGTTCGAAACTTGATCTTTTTCAGCAGGAAAACGAGGTTTAGGCTGTGTGGAACGTTCAAAACCGTGCTGTTGATTGGGTAACGATCCGTCGTCTGCCTCCAATGGTTTACGAACTGTCTGAGAAGGACCGGTGTGCTCATTTCGGCGTGACGAGACAGTACATTCGATTATTTGTCCTTGAATTGTAGCACCTGACCATTGGCGGACGAATTCATCTGCATCTTCTTGATAGACAAAACCATTGATCCATGCACAAGAACCATCTTTCTGAATACTAATATGTAATGGGCGTGGTAAATGAAGTTCCTGAGCGAGTTTTACAGAATTAATCGATGCAGGAAGAGGAGCAAGTCGAACACTCAACTGAATCGATGGAGTATTTGATGCCATTTTAATCGCGGATATTGTGAATTGAATATAAGAACAGTTTCGAGAAAAGACTATTTTTATGTGACTAGTTGTTTAAAAGACTATTTTTAGTCAGTCGAGCAAAACGGAAACGACTTTTTTCTCTGCAGAATGACACAAAAAGAAAATTCAAAGAAATAAATATACGGCGTCATCTCTTTTTCCTTGGGTTTTTTCCCAGTTCTCTCTCTTCAATCTGTTGCACGACGCGGTAGTCTTTCTGGGAAACAAAGCGCACTTTACGAGTATCTTATCGACCATTTATATCTTCAGTGCTTTTTCATAGTGGGTTTTATGCAAATGTTTATCTATATTCAATATCACACTTATAATGACAATCATACGAACTTCTGTTTAGTTGAGAATGAACGGAAGAACAGGAAAATATCTTACAACAATCTTTCTTCAAAGAAAGTTTTCTTTTATTCGCCTAAAAGAATATCAATACATCAAACAAGGAAAAAAAACACTTCTAAAACTTTAATTTCCTTGAGAAAGTCTTTGTATCCAACGATTAATATTGTTCAATGTTATTTGTGCTTCGGGAAAAAATGAAAAAAATATTGGATAGATATGCATCATATGCAAACCTTCTTCAAATGTTACATTCACATATGCTTCCTTTGCCTTGAGAAAAACTCGCTTTGAATCATCATACAGCAATTCACTTGTACCTACATTGATATACATCGGTGGAAATCCTTTGAACGAACCAAACAACGGACTGTAGTGAGGATCATTCGCAGATTGATTGAGATTCAAGACTTGCGCGGTAACCCAGCGAACATCATCATGAGTAAATAACAAATCAGCTTCACGATTACGATGAAAACTGTCACCGGACGCAGACAAATCTGTCCATGGTGATAAAACGATGACACCACATGGTAATTGCTCATTTTGTGCAATTAGAGTCTGAACGGTGAGAAGTGCGAGACCACCACCAGCAGAATCACCAATCAAAATAATCTGCGATGGTAAAATATTCTGACGAAGCAAACTTTGATAAACTGATACTGTATCCTTGACAGCAGCAGGAACAAGGTGTTCAGGACTAAGACGATATTCCACATGGAGAATTGTCCCATTGAATATTCGGGATAATTCGCATTCGAAACCACTGTAGCCTAAATAAATGTCAAGTGAGTTACATATTTTCAATAAAAACGGAATTTACTATGAATATTTCCGATTAAATATCCGCCGCCGTGTAAGAAAAGAAATAATTTATCGGAATGTTTTCGAGACTTTCGAATCGAATTGTCAATCCAGTAAGTTTCGACAGAATGTCCATTGTGTTCAAAGATTTCCTCGGCAATTCGACATTGCGATGGCTTGGGAATGAGATCAGATATCACAGATTTCGTACGCATATCTTTCAGTAAAGTAAGAGCATCGGCTAATGGATCATATTTCGGAATTGGCCGAATACGAATTAAATTTTCAAACGCACGAAATTCCGTACTCAATGTTGGTCGAGTTGCATCAGATATGAAAGAATGTTTTACTGTCAGTAGGGAATGTACAACACGTATGAAAATATATTGAGAATTAGTTGAGCCATACCATAGAGGAATACTGATAGTTGTTAACAAAAGAATTAAACTTAATCTCTGTAAAAATCGAATGAGAGAGTCAGCGAGTAACATGGACTTCGGGTATTGAAATAGTGAAATTATATTTATATCTACTATGAGTAAGAAGATAAATCATTGGTATGCGAGTATCTGCTAATCGTTATCATCTCGACAGAGGTCTCTATTTTTTTTTGAAAAAAGATAAGAAATAAGGAGGGATGAATGTAATCAACCGTGAAACTTTAAGTCTTCTTTCACAAGCTGACGAAACACTTTATATTGTGCGTGAGGAAATGATTTTTTCCATCATAACGATATTGTCTTTGACTGAAAAACATCGATAGATATGTTATATATTCAGAAAACGTTTCTTTTACTTCACCAACTTGGCTCAATGATAAATTATATAACACGATAGTTGAGCAGACGAAGTGCTAGTGAGAAAGTTGTCTGATATATCGACGATTAGATGTAGAACTAGTTCGAAAGAGCACACATCAATTCCTTGAGGGTGAGGGTGTGGATTCGAGTCTTACAACTCATTTCAAAGGAAAATGGCTCATTCCGAAGTATCTCTGAAAGCTCTTATAGTCGCCTGGAGCACTTGGAGTCATCAGAATCAAGAGATATAACAATCAAGTTCAAAACGTGCAATTTTGTCTAGAAGAATACATGGTATTTTGCGTACAAGGATCTACCAGACTCTGGAAGTTTCAGAATCGTACAATCACCTGTTTCTTTCTTAACTCACATTCACATCCTCTATGTAATCATTGAAAAGAATACATCTCTCATGAATACAGGTAGAGATTTTCAATGAAAATATATCTTGTTTTATTCATACATGCACAAAATATTAGCAATGAACAAATAACTTCTTTTATTCACAACAACGGAAAATAAAGGTAAAAATTGTGTGGATATACAGTTGGTATTGAGTTCAAAATAATATGTTGCAATTTTGAACAATTGCTGTAAGCATTTTTGTTTGTAAAATTCTCTGTTACAATCACTAAATCTTCATATTTAATATGAAGTCTATTGAGAGAAGGTAGACATGTATTAAAGTCGAAAAGAAATTGTTTCGCATAATCAATATGTGACATAGCGACATTGAGTATCACAAGATGAGAAAATTCAATAGTTGACGCTGTTGATTCACATTTAGCTTGTTGCTGTATTAATTTGTTTCTATTGAATATCGTTAATTTCTTTAGTAATGGAAAAGCTTGAGCAATTTGAGCAAAAAACACATGTTCAAATGAACGAACAAGATCTTTTAGATATAACTCACGAACAGTCATAAATAAACCACCCTGAAATTTACCAGAATGTATATGCATAGCATCTATAGTAACTGGAAGCGAATAAATATGGCATTGACACTTATAAAATTCATTATAGTCAATATAACAATTAACATCAAATCCCATTTCAACCAATGGACGTTTTATCTCATCGAGTGTTGGTAAAAGTTCTTCATCTATTCTAACGTATTCTGTGATAATATTGAAGATAAATACTTGTAAATACGATAGTTTATTGAGAATATTATCAACCAAATGCGTACCGTCAATCAATGAAGTTCGACCATCGACAACAAGAGATAATGTTAATTCTTCTAATTGTAACATACGATGTAATAATGGTAAAACTTGAGTATCATATTCATCTGTTCGATGGAAGGAAGTCAACGAGAAACATTTGAGATCAGATACTGTCTTCTAAAAAAGAAACCTTTAATCATATCAAGTTGAAATGGCTGAATCTGTTGTCTGTATCCCTTCGTACCAATCGTAAGTAACAAAGGGCGAAAAGGCAAAACTTGCGTTCACTTAAGATATAATACCTGAAGTACGGATGAAGTCTGAAGTCTCGCATTTTCCCCCTTGTAAGTAACTCAATCAAGAACGAACACGGAGATATTTGACTACAATTTAAGAGATTTTACCGAATTTCTTATGATCTTTGATGTATCAATAATGTGACCAATCTTGACAATCAATGTTTGCAATTGAGTAAAGTATCCATTAAGTAAACAAAGACAGTCGTCAAAACTACAGACTCCAATATTCAGATGAACGATATTTGACAAGTAACATGCAGTAGATGGAACAGTTAGAAAAGGTCTTGATATATCTGTACAAACATCTTGCGAATGAAAGTTGAGATAAATTAACTTTGGACAGAGTATTAAAATATTGTCGAAAATATTTGTGAATAATTCCTTTATACGTTCACCACCGCTTTTATCAGAAAACATTACAGTGAGATGTGAAATTTGGTTTTCAAACAACGTAATAAACGATGACTTGTCTAAATATTGAATAAGAATTAACTGNGAAAAGGTCTTGATATATCTGTACAAACATCTTGCGAATGAAAGTTGAGATAAATTAACTTTGGACAGAGTATTAAAATATTGTCGAAAATATTTGTGAATAATTCCTTTATACGTTCACCACCGCTTTTATCAGAAAACATTACAGTCAGATGTGAAATTTGGTTTTCAAACAACGTAATAAACGATGACTTGTCTAAATATTGAATAAGAATTAACTGACATAGAAAACAAGGTATGACATACCATCAAAAATACGAGATGCCATTTCAAATTGAACATTAAGAAGAGTTAGTTGATGAAGTTTAGGATAAGAAGTAAGATGAAGGATGCGATCTATTAATAGTGCATCAAGAGTAAGAGATTGAATATGGTCGTGAATTTGAGGTAACACATGGAAACAAAATCGATCAATTATCGAGTTTTTTCTGAGATTATTCTTTTCATTTGATAATATTCTTGACAAATCAACACATTGTGTAAATGCTATATCTCGAGCTAATCTATCGAGTTTCCCATTGACGCCTATAAGTGAATATAATACATCCATGTTATCCAGTTTATTGTAAATAGCGAGTAATATCTCATCACAGAGATTAACAAAATTAAAGGACGAATCGTTCATGCTCAATAGAAATGACAAATGTGACGAAACTATTTTTCTATATGTATATGTATTCGATCTTTGTCTTAGCTGACGTCGTCAACAAATGAATGCTTTGTATGGTTTTTCTATTGTGTTTTATTCGCGAGAAGATATCGAGAGTGGTCACAAAAGTAAAATCACAAATCGACCTACTACCGTGATCGAGGACAGAGACCCAAATTATGACTCTTAAATAATGAGATGAATTTCAAGATGTTCGAATTTCCATTATTCGAGCTTGTAGATCTCTATACGCGACGTATATACTATTAGGCTGCCTCATTTTTATCGGTTCTATTAAGGGGGTATAGACAGATGGCGGTAAAGCACGTCTGCGTAATACAAGGGTTACACATTTCAATATATTTTATGTAATAATATACTATCTAACTAATAAACTATGGAATGAAATAGTCTTTCGTCAAGAAAATTTAGAGATTTAATGCTAGACACTGCTAGTGATTTTTGAAGACTCATTTATTCTAATTTTGACGGCTGAAGTTACTGCAATAGTTAAATTGATTGTGAACGAAGTGATTCTTTTTGTTTGATGTACTTTTAACTTTTGCATATTGATTAATTAATGAAGTTTGTCAAATAAATAAGGCTTCCAACGATTGAAATATCACATATCTTTCTCCAAATATCATTTTAACAACAAAAATCTTCGGAGAAAAATTCGTCGCACATAGATAAGAGTTCTCTCCTCAATAGCTACATCTTCACCTTTAGGGAAAACTGAGAGGCGTCGAAAGCAAGGCCACAGTACCAATTTTTGCTTTAATTTGGCACGAAACAGTTTTTTTTTTATTATATGATAAACAATCTATTGCTGCCCTACAAACTCGTCTAAATCAATAATAGAGCCTGTTGAATTATTTATGTTGAAGAGTAGATTCAATGGCTTTCATCTAGAGCTGAACTTCATCAATTTCTGGTTTCCATTGAACTACATATGAGACAGAAAAAAAATGCAACAGTCTCGAAGCAGAAGTAACTGATACCGGGTTTCCATTGATTATATGGAGAATTATGTGATTCTATACTGACTCTAAGCCCATATACGGATATATTATTTACTCTCAGATAATTTTAACCTTTAGCGAAAAACTAATTTGTTTCAGGAAGAATTTTCTTGAAAGCCTGTAAAACAAAAAGCGTCTTTTATTACGACAAAACTCAACAGAAAAGCAACGATATGTCCGCTTCTATTCTAGTTGCTCCATTAGCTGCGCACAGACCAATTCCTTTTGGTTGTCCTATTACTCGTAATTTGGTCCCGTTTCGAACGATTGAAGTGCCTATATAATCAACGAGGCAGCAACACGTTCATTTGTCACACTCTTTATCAGTTTTTCAATCTCTGATCCAATTTAGTAAAGCTTGACTAGAAACATTGTCGTCAACTATATCTTGACTACAAAATACTTTTATTAATTAAGGATATAACGTACATCCATAAGTTGCTCATTATCACAGACAAATCAGCTATATATTTGTGTAGTATACACTTGATGAATATGACTAATGTATTTCACTCGTTTATAACGTATCGATTGTGTCTGTCATATTAAAACATTCAAAATTGAGCGAAGAACGAGAACAAACTCAAACTACTTTGTTTTCTAATGTCGAATGTGGTATATAGGATGAAGTTATGCGATAATTTTTCTTCTACCCCGTTCTTTTTTTGCGTTTTCAGCACATGCTTTGTATTAAATTAACAAATTTACATGAGAAATTAGAAAATATGTTATTCATCATGTTGCTGCGGATAGATATTTTGCTGAAGAAGAGTCAATTCAATTTATTGAGGGTTTTTATTCTTTTCAAGAGTTAACACGGATAGTTTATCCTTGATAATCAGTCCATGATTCCATAAGAAATTGTTCGATAGTGGTTGGTTTGATTTCTGGACATATGTTGTTTAACGTGGCTTCAAAATCAAATTCGCCTCGTACGATTCCTAAATAGACTTGATGAATCAGTTTTTCAAGAACGTTATCGGTCATGGTATCGATCAATCTGGCTGCTTCGTCAGCGGAGGTGTATTGCACATGGAACTTGGTTCCTCTGATCTTCTCACCCAGCTTGATGATTTCATTCCAAGTTGTTCGACTTCCGACAATGCCTGAGTTTTCATTCCATTTGTCGAGCTCGAGAGCAGCAGCAACGAATTTACCAACATCATCAGCTCGAGTAAGGCAAAACGGTTCATCACCTGAGCTGGTAATACTTGCTACACATTTGTTAAAGTCTACACCAATAACGAGGGAACCTATCGATTTACTTGCTGTTTGAGGTGATGCAAAATAGTCCATCAAAAGACCGATCATAAACACAGTGTATTCTATGCCAGCTGCTTTAATTTTCTCTCGAACAGGTACTTTAAGTCGTCGATACAGTTCTATCACTGTATTTTCATCATGGTGACCAGTCCACTCTGACGGGGCTATTCGTTTGACTTTCGCTTCCAGTGCTGCATTGAGCAAATTGATCTGCGCTTGAACACACGAATCATCTAATGAAATAAGCGTAACAATGACTGTGTGAACACCTTGTAACTCCTTTACGAGTAAATCACGATCAGCATAATCGACTTTAACCACTATCACTCCTTTGACTGTCATATCAACTAATGATGAAGGATCTTGTCGAGAGAAGACTTTCACCGTGTATTTCTTTGCAGCCACAATCCCATCGACAATATGTCGACCAATGCCACCAGTACCACCGGCGATCACGATCACTTTTCGTGATTCGACATCCATATTTGTAAGAGCGCTGTATACTCACCCTCAAGAAAGGAAAAAATACTGATGAGAACACACCAGCATAATTTCGCCTTATCATCAATACAAAGAACTGACAACGCGAAAGCATCTTACTTACGGTATACGAGAGGAAAAAAAGAATAAATGATAAAGACTTTTTTTATAAGTATTCTATTCATCTGAATGTAAGAAGTCAAAGTGTAATTGAATTAGAACCATAAGAACACAAAATGAGTAGAGTTTATCTGATTTTTCAAAACAATGCCATCGAAAGTAATTGTGCATGTTGCTCGTTTAATGTCATATGGATTTCAACTTCATCTTTATTCAATGTTGGTAAAATTAGAATAAGTCCATCGAATATAATTTGAGGAATTTGAAAAGATTTTGCTTTGCCTTGACCAAAATCACATTGATATAAAGGAAATTTCGACCAATTACTGAATGATAAATCAATTCCTCCGTTTGCTTCCCATCCTAAATGAATTCTAGATGACCGATGATGTTTATCAATAAATGCCAATGCTGATTGAATATATTCCCGTTTCATGAATTCTCTTTTGTGTAGATTAATTCGTTGAGCTAAGTCATTAACAGATAATTTGTTCAGATCAAACATCGAAAATGACAAACAGATAGAAAAAGTACAGTTGCCAAAATAATTTTCATCTATATTCGGTAATAATCTTCGTCCATTCATGGCCATACCAACATTCACTATTGTTTGCAAAGATATACAACGAATTTGACTGATTTGCTTTGTTAGCCATGCCACAAGAACATCATTCATCGAAAGATTTTCATTTTCAATTTCAAGTTTAGCAAATAAATCCTCTTTTGTGTAACGTTTAAGAATCGTTCTGGTTGAAATCGGATTCAGTAAAGAATGTACAGGGGGAGTGATACTCATTTCTTGATGATCATACTGAATAGAAAGTAATGGATCGAAACATCGTAATTTCGATCGATCATGATCGAAAAAAGTTGGATGTTTTCCTTGAAACCATGATGCAAAACGTTGTCCTAATAAACTAAATCCATAACCATCGGATAAATGATGATGACAACCAAAGACTAGAGCAGTTCCATCTTGAAAATGTATTTGATGAAGAAAAATAAGAGGCGAAGTATCGGTTGGCATCAAACCATATGGAAGTAAATCTTCAATCGAACAATTTGGACTCGAATATTTGAAAATACTTTCAGTTGTTCTTGATTCACATAAAAACACGTTTCGTTCTTGATCGTTTTCACATTTAACAATTCGTCCATCTAATGGACTATCTTTTTCATAAACAATTGTTTGAAACGCTTGCGGACAATACAACTGAAGATACTCATGAAAAGACTCCTCCAGATTAACAATCGGATAATCATAGATAAGCAGTGCGCGAATATAAACATGTGCCATAAGAATATCCGACAATGAAAGACGATCTTGATTCTCTAAACATGATGACATATTTTCAAATGCTTGATGAATAAATGAAAGTGCATCTCTTTTTTTCTTTTCTTCTCTTTATACCACAATGAATCAGAGATATAATATCACTGACACGTCACTATATGATGAATCATTCCATTCTGAATTTAGTCAAATGATTTTCTCTTTCAATCAATTAAACAAAAATAATTTTCTAACAAGCAATATTGAAAAACTAAGATTGCGTTTCTTCGTCGTCACTGTCATCTTGTTCTTCGACGACAGCGTGTCTTGCATCGATTTTATGCAAGTCTTTCCTAAGCGAACAGATCACATCTTTGGTACTTTCACCAAGTTCGTCGAATTTTTCGATAACGTCGTAGGCTCGTCCTGGCAGCCACATCCATTTTCCATTTGTATAGTATTTTTTCGGATAAATTCGTTTGTTTCCACCTGGTGTTGTGTGAATAACACTGACAATCAAATTCAGTTGCTCTTCGAGACGCGAACGCGTTGCAGAGATATGATTTTCGAGATCTCCTTTTCGAGCTTCTAATGAACGTTTTTCTTTGAGTAGAATTTGTTGGCTCTGTTCGACTTCGGCGATGTCATGTTCGAGTTTTGCTTTAACTTTTTGAATCTGTTCTCGATCACGAGTAACATCGTGAAGATCGAAATCGAGTTGTTTCTTCTCTGTGAGTAATCTCGAATGTTTTTCTTCAAGATTTTGATTTTCTTTCGTTAGTTCTTCGAGAGAAATTCGAAGACGTTGATTTTCATTAATTGCTGATTGAATATCGTTACTAAGCTTAAAGATTGATTCCTGATTCTTCTGCACGATGGTATCAAGTCTTTCTTGTAAAGTTTTGTTATTCAATGCAGCGTTTTCGAGCGACCGATTGAGTTTTTCAATTTGTTCATCGTATCGTTTACTTTGTTGTTGAATGATTTCTTGTTTTTTGTTTAATTCCACCTCATGCATTTGGTTCAGTTCATTGATTTTCATTTCTAGTTCTTCGTTCTTATCTCGTAGAACTTTAACTTGTCCGCAAATGGTAATTGGATCGAGTAATTGATGTAACACACGAGCATTTTCAAAAGTTGTCGCGATCGTCTTTTTCACTTCATCCAAATTTCGATAACGAACAAATTCATTCTTGATTATTTTACTACCGGTTTCCTCATCGTCGATCGTAATTTCTCTCGTTTCGGCATAGATTCGGACATGCGGAGCAAAACGAAGAATTCCATCGCGATAAATAAAAAGCACGGGAATTGTCAAATTTGTGCAATATTCATAAATTCGAGGTAGTTCACCAAGTGCACTATCACGAGGATTACTCGCACTGATCAGAAAAATCACACCATGCACTTCTGACCGTCCGTGAAGTGCTCTCTGCCATTCGCCGGGATTTTTGTAATTGATTCCTAACATATCGTTTAATTCATAATGACGAGAGAATCCGTCGACGAAGAATGAACCTTTTTGGTTTTCTTTGATCAGACAACCAGCACGTCCATCACTTGTATCAAAATGTACCCCACAACTTTCATTAAGTAATGTTGTCTTGCCGACTCCTTCCAATCCAATCAGAATTAGTTTACAAATTTCACTGGCATTTCCATTGAAAATTGTCACGTCTGTATTTTGACTCATTATCTGCGAGAAAAAAACACGATACTTTTCACCATTCAATTTTTTCGCAATACTCACTAACGTGTATATGTTTTGTATATATATACATTCTTTCTTTCTGACGCTTTTTTTACACGTGGTTTTACGTGAGAAAGAAAACAGATGAAGTCAAATGACTGCAGTATTTATCATCATCAATACAAATCGCAGATGTCGTATTTATTTTTCTCGTAAGCAAAGAAATACCGTTTTTAAATTATAAGGATTGAAATCTCAAATGACTTGTAATACCATTCGGTGAGTTAGAAAAAGAACGAACTAAAATATCAGGGCTTTATTCTCATTTTTTCCATTGTTAGTTGGTGTCCGTCGCATCTATCATTCGAGTTTTGTTCGAATATAGATAGAGGAAGGCAAAACTATGCTCAAACCAACACTGGCAGGATGCATTATTTTTCAAGAGTAAAACTAGGAGACATTTGGTATGCTAGGTGTTTCCTGCTTTGAAATGCGCTTACCAAAGAGAAAGGCGTTGGCTAGAGATGTTAACCATTAGTGACATTTTTTCTAAAATTAATGGCCCAAAAAAGCATTTACTTTGACTTCAATCATCCGATTTGACTTCCTCGCTCGAAACGGAACAAATTCTTTTTATCTGGCTGACGTCAAATGAAATTCTCAAAGCTGTCATTATCAATACACTTTGTTCATCACAGTTTGCGCGAAGAGCATGTTTGATAAAAAATCTTTTCTTTATTTGATTTTTGTTCACTGCATCATTGCAGTGCCGCAGATAAATCTCTATTTTACAATAGATGAAGTAAGTGAAAATGAATACAATGATAGAATAGGCATACAATACAATTGTCTTCGACTTCCTTCGAATTTAAAAGATGCAAGTATAACTCAACAGATCTCATCGTATTGTATGAGTGAATCATCAAGACAGTTTCACATTGAACATGATATACCATCATTCTCATTTGTTGATCTTGCAAAAAAAAAGGTCACAAGTGAAAATTTATTTATCTGGTCAGCACCACTTGACATTGTTGAACAATACCAAATGTATTTAGAAACAAACGATTCCTCCTTAGAAAAACAAAGCTTCTACAATTGCACGTTACCAAGATTTGGGCCAATGTGTCAATATGAATTATACTACTATCATGAGAATTATTCCTCTTTATACGAAATTGTTCATAATTATTATAAATCCTATTATCATCAAACAATTACAAAGACTTGTTACACTCATCTGACATGCCGTCGTGGTTATTCGCCAGCATGTTTAGATTGGACTGAGATTTGTGATGGTAAAGTTGATTGTATTGATGGAGATTATGATGAAGACCATTGTTGGCAACTTGAATTGAACGAATGTGAACAGGATGAGTACCAATGTGCGAATGGTCTATGTATACCGCGTGAATTTGTTCGCGACGATAATCTGTATCTTGATTGTATTGACACATCCGACGAAAAGTTTAAAAGAACTATTGATTCTTGGCTGCCATTGGTAGTCGAACCAGCTTTTGGAATTGATGATATCGTGTGTCACGATAAGTTTATTAGCAGCTCTTGTATTTCAAAATATGAACTCTTAACACTAGAATCGATGTTTTCAGTCAAAGACCGTTTAGTGTCAGACGAATGTTGGACAGCTTTTAAATGCTATTTTGCTTTTTCAACTCCACGATTTCCCAAGATCAATATCACGATTATTAATGAAGAATGTATACCTATCATTAGAAAAGACTGCCCAGCTATATTATATATTCCCAGTATTCCCATTTTCTTTGGCCATGTTTATACGGCTTTTAAGAAAAATGAGTTGACTAATTCGTTTGTTCCATCAGTGCCGTATTTGTGTTCGAACAAATATTTTTCTCATAATTTTGTACTAGATTCTTCATTGAACGATACAACGTGCTTTAAAGCTGCTAAGTGGACGCAAATAGTCCTGTTTGATGATTTATCTCCTGTTTTCCGATTTAGTACTTTTATGGAAATGACCTTTCAACAAATTAAACTATTTCAGCCGATAGTTAACTTTCCAATCGACCAATATAATCAATCTAACGTCTATCAATGTTCAAATTCATCAAAATACATCCCATTTCATCGTTTCCTCGACGCTGTATTTGATTGTCCATACAAGGATGATGAAAATATAATTGAGCATATCGATCCTCATCTACCGACGCAATTCCAAAATAAATATTACAAATGTCACATGACCAACAAATATATCACTCAATCCGCAATATCGAATGGAAAATGCGATTGTGAGTATGTTGATGAGGCATGCGAAGATGAAGATCTATTTCATAACTTTACTCGCCGAACCATATCTTTTCAGACGATGTGTGATGGTTTCCAAGAGTTATATCCAATTACAATCGATGGTCAAAATCAAACGGATGAAACTCAATGCGAGCCATGGGAGTGTGATAATATGTACACTCGATGTGATCAAATATGGAATTGTTTAGACGGAAAAGACGAAATGAATTGTGACAATTCACCACCATTACTCAATTGTTCTTCGGATTCTCGAATGTGTGTCACGTTAGACACATATCAGCTGATATGTTTGCCACTTCGTCAAATCAATGATGGTCAAATTCATTGCCTTGGCGGTACTGATGAACGAATGTTATGTCGACCTCCCTATTCACGTAGTGATGCAAAATTTTATTGTGTAATTCATCATAACCGCCCACCATGTATCCAATCTGGTGTTTTATGTGATGGCAAGGAGTTATGTGCAGATGGAGAAGATGAACGATTTTGCAACAAAAGTCAATCATTTCCGCTGGACACTGGTATTTGCAATGAGAAGTACGAACCATTGAGAACTGATGTTGAAAAGTTCTTATTTGATACGGTTAAAGGTAGACAAAAGGCAAAAATAAAATATTTCCGAATAACCGGATTTTCTCAATCATCTGATCATGAAATTAATGAACAGAAGCCTACCAATCAAATCACTTTAGATAACAAGAAGTCACTTTCACTCTTGGATCTTCCTCGTTGTCATCGTGGTCTCGATGTACGCGTTTGGTTGAACCAATCATCTAACTTCTACACAAGGACATGTTTTTGTCCTCCTACTTACTATGGAAAACAATGTCAATACCAAAATCAACGCGTCAGTGTAGTCATGAGATTTCATGTTCCAGCGCAGTCGCGACGAACTCTATTTGCCATTCTAGTTATGCTTATCGATGATTCAAGTCAACGGACAGTTCATTCCTATGAACAATTTACTTATTTATCCATTCGAGATTGCAAGATTAAATTTAATTTTTACTTACTTTATTCAACTCGACCCAAACGTTCAAATCGGAGTTATTCAGTTCATATTGATGTCTATGAAAGGTTCTCTCTTACATATCGAACGAGTTTCATCTATCCTGTCAAATTCTCCTTCTTACCAGTTCATCGCTTGGCATNTCGTCAAAACTACAGACTCCAATATTCAGATGAACGATATTTGACAAGTAACATGCAGTAGATGGAACAGTTAGAAAAGGTCTTGATATATCTGTACAAACATCTTGCGAATGAAAGTTGAGATAAATTAACTTTGGACAGAGTATTAAAATATTGTCGAAAATATTTGTGAATAATTCCTTTATACGTTCACCACCGCTTTTATCAGAAAACATTACAGTGAGATGTGAAATTTGGTTTTCAAACAACGTAATAAACGATGACTTGTCTAAATATTGAATAAGAATTAACTGACATAGAAAACAAGGTATGACGTACCATCAAAAATACGAGATGCCATTTCAAATTGAACATTAAGAAGAGTTAGTTGATGAAGTTTAGGATAAGAAGCAAGATGAAGGATGCGATCTATTAATAGTGCATCAAGAGTAAGAGATTGAATATGATCGTGAATTTGAGGTAACACATCGAAACAAAATCGATCGATTATCGAGTTTTTTCTGAGATTATTCTTTTCATTTGAAAATATTCTTGATAAATCAACACATTGTGTAAATGTTATATCTCGAGCCAATCTATCGAGTTTTCCATTGACACCTATAAGTGAATATAATACATCCATGTTATCCAGTTTATTGTAGATAGTGAGTAATATCTCATCACAGAGATTAACAATATTAAAGGACGAATCGTTCATGCTCAATAGAAATGACAAATGTGACGAAACTATTTTTCTGTATGTATATGTATTCGATCTTTGTCTTAGCTGACGTCGTCAACAAATGAATGCTTTGTATGGTTTTTCTATTGTGTTTTATTCGCTAGAAGATATCGAGAATGGCGATAAAAGTAAAATCACAAATCGAACTACTACCGTGATCGAGGACAGAGAGCCAAATTATGACTCTTAAATAATGAAATGAATTTCAAGATGTTCGAATTTCCATTATCCGAGCTCGTAGATCTCTAGTATAAGCGATGTATATACTATTAGGCTGCCTCATTTTTATCGGTTCTATTAGGGAGGGAGGTAGATGGCGGTAAAGCACGCCTGTACAATAGTTGAATCGATTGTGATCGAAGTGATTTTTTTGCTTGATGTACTTTTAAGTTTTGCATATTGATTAATTAATGAAATTTGTCGAATAAATAAGGCTTCCAACGATTGAAAAATCATATGTCTTTCTCCAAATATCATTTTAACAACAAACGTCTTCAGAGAAAAATTCATCGCACATGGATAAGAGTTCTCTCCTCAATAGCTACATCTTCACCTTTAGGGGAAGCTGAGAGGCGTCGAAAGCAAGGCCACAGTACCAATTCTTGCTTTAATTTGGCACGAAAAAGTTTTTTTTGTTGAGTATATGATAAACAATCTATTGATGCCCTACAAACTCGTCTAAATAATCAATAATAGAGCCTGTTAAATTATTTATGTTGAAGAGTAGATTCAATGGCTTCCATCTAGAGTTGAACTACATATGAGACAGAAAAAAATGCAACAGTCTCGAAGCAGAAGTAACTGATACCGGGATTCCATTGCTTATATGGAGAATTATGTGATTCTCTACTGACTCTAAGCCCATATACGGATATGTTATTTGCTCTCAGATAATTTTAACCTTTGGTGAAAAACTAATTTGTTTCAGGAAGAATTTTCTTGACAGCCTATAAAACAAAAAGCGTCTTTTATTACGACAAAACTCAACAGACAAGCAACGATAACTCCGATTCTATTCTAGTTGCTCCATTAGCTGCGCACAGACCAATTCCCTTTGGTTGTCCTATTACTCGTAATTTAGTCCAGTTTCGAACGCTTGAAGTGCCTATATGATCATTGAGGCAGCAACATGTTCATTTGTCACACACTTTATCAGTTTTCCAATCTCCGATCCAATTTAGTAAAGCTTGAGTAGAAACATTGTCGTCAACTATATCTTGACTACAAAATACTTTTATTAATTAACGATATAACGTACATCCATAAGTTGCTCGTCATCACAGTCAAATCAGCTATATATTTGTGTAGTATACACTTAATGAATATGACTAATGTATTTCACTCGTTTATAACGTATCGATCGTGTCTGTCATATTAAAACGTTGAAAATTGAGTGAAGAACGGGAACAAGCTCAAACTATACTTTGTTTTCTAATGTCAAATATGGTATATAGGATGAAGTTATGCGATAACTTTTCTTCCGTCCCGTTCTTTTTTGCGTTTTCAGCACATGCTTTGTATTGAATTAACAAATTTACATGAGAAATTAGAAAATATATTATTCATCATGTTGCTGATAGATATTTTGCTGAAGAAGAGTCAGTTCAATTTATTGAGGGTTTTTATTCTTTTCAAGAGTTAACACGGATAGTTTATCCTTTATAATCAGCCCATGATTCCATAAGAAATTGTTCGATAGTGGTTGGTTTAATTTCTGGACATATGTTGTTTAACGTGGCTTCAAAATCAAATTCACCTCGTACGATGCCTAAATAGACTTGCTGAATCAATTTTTCAAGAACGTTATCGGTCATGGTATCGATCAATCTGGCTGCTTCGTCAGCACAGGTGTATTGCACATGGAACTTGGTTCCTCTGATCTTCTCACCCAGCTTGATGATTTCATTCCAAGTTGTCCGACTTCCGACAATGCCTGAATTTTCATTCCATTTGTCGAGCTCGAGAGCAGCAGCAACGAATTTACCAACATCATCAGCTCGAGTAAGACAAAACGGTTCATCACCTGAGCCGGTAATACTTGCTACACATTTGCTAAAGTCTACACCAATAACGAGGGAACCTATCGATTTACTTGCTGTTTGAGGTGATGCAAAATAGTCCATTAAAAGACCGATCATAAACACCGTATATTCTATGCCAGCTGCTTTAATTTTCTCTCGGACAGGTACTTTAAGTCGTCGATACAGTTCTATCACTGTATTTTCATCATGTTGACCAGTCCACTCTGATGGAGCTATTCGTTTGACTTTCGCTTTCAGTGCTGCATTGAGCAAATTGATCTGCGCTTGAACACACGAATCATCTAATGAGATAAGCGTAACAATGACTGTGTGAACACCTTGTAATTCCTTTACGAGTAAATCACGATCAGAATAATCGACTTTAACCACTATCACTCCTTTGACTGTCATATCAACTAATGATGAAGGATCTTGTCGAGAGAAGACTTTCACCGTGTATTTCTTTGCAGCCACAATCCCATCGACAATATGTCGACCAATGCCACCAGTACCACCGGCGATCACGATCACTTTTCGCGATTCGACATCCATTTTTGTAAGAGCGCTGTATACTCACCCTCAAGAAAGGAACAAAATACTGATGAGAACACACCAGAACAATTTCGCCTTATCATCAATACAAAGGACTGACAACGCGAAAGCATCTTACTTACGGTACGAGAGGAAAAAAGAATAAATGATAAAGACATTTTTATAAGTATTCTATTCATCTGAATGCAAGAAGTTAAAGTGTAATTGAATTAGAACCATAAGAACACAAAATGAGTAGAGTTTATGTGATTTTTCAGAACAATTCCACCGAAAGTAATTGTGCATGTTGCTCATTTAATGTCATATGGATTTCAACTTCATCTTTATTCAATGTTGGTAAAATTAGAATAAGTCCATCGAATATAATTTGAGGAATTTGAAAATATTTTGCTTTGCCTTGACCAAAATCACACTGATATAGAGGAAATTTTGACCAATTACTGAATGATAAATCAATTCCTCCGTTTGGTTCCCAACCTAAATGAATCCTAGATGACCGATGATGTTTATCAATAAATGCCAATGCTGATTGAATATATTCCCGTTTCATGAATTCTCTTTTGTCTATATTAATTCGTTGAGCTAATGTCATTGACAGATAATTTGTTCAAATCAAACATTGAAAATGGCAAACAGATAGAAAAAGTACAGTTGCCAAAATAATTTTCATCTATATTCGGCAATAATCTTCGTCCATTCATTGCCATACCAACATTCACTATCGTTTGCAAAGGTATACAACGAATTTGACTGATTCGCTTTGTTAGCCATGCCACAAGAACATCATTCATCGAAAGATTTTCATTTTTAATTTCAAGTTTACCAAATAAATCCTCTTTGGTGTAACGTTTAAGAATCGTTCTGGTTGAAATCGGATTCAGTAAAGAATGTACAGGGGGAGTGATACTCATTTCTTGATGATCATACTGAATAGAAAGTAATGGATCGAAACATCGTAATTTCGATCGATCATGATCAAAAAAAGTTGGATGTTTTCCTTGAAACCATGATGCAAAACGTTGCCCTAATAAACTAAATCCATAACCATCGGATAAATGATGATGGCAACCAAAGAGTAAGGCAGTTCCATCTTGAAAATGTATTTGATGAAGAAAAATAAGAGGTGAACTATCGGTTGGCATCAAACCATATGGAAATAAATCTTCTATCGAACAATTTGGACTCGAATATTTAAAAATACTTTCAGTTGTTCTTGATTCACGTGAAAACACATTTCGTTCTTGATCGTTTTCACATTTAACAATACGTCCATCCAATGGACTATCTTTTTCATAAACAATTGTTTGAAACGCTTGCGGACAATACAACTGAAGATACTCATGAAAAGATTCTTCCAGATTAACAATCGGATAATCATAGATAAGCAGTGCGCGAATATAAACATGTGCCATAAGAATATCCGATAATGAAAGACGATCTTGATTCTCTAAACATGATGACATATTTTCAAATGCTTGATGAAATGAAAGTGCATCTCCTTCTTTTCTTTTCTTCTCCTTATACCACAATGAATCAGAGATATAATATCACTGACACGTCACTATATGATGATTCATTGCATTCTGAATTTAGTCAAATGATTTTCTAACAAACAATATTGAAAAGCTAAGACTGCGTTTCTTCGTCGTCACTGTCATCTTGTTCTTCGACGACAGCGTGTCTCGCATCGATTTTGTGCAAGTCTTTCCTGAGCGAACAGATCACATCTTTGGTACTTTCACCAAGTTCGTCGAATTTTTCGATAACGTCGTATGCTCGTCCTGGTAGCCACATCCACTTTCCATTTGTATAGTATTTTTTCGGATAGATTCGTTTGTTTCCACCTGGTGTTGTGTGAATAACACTGACAATAAGATTCAGTTGCTCCTCGAGACGCGAACGCGTTGCAAAGATGTGATTTTCGAGATCTCCTTTCCGAGCTTCTAATGAACGTTTTTCTTTGAGTAGAATTTGTTGGCTCTGTTCGACTTCGGCGATGTCATGTTCGAGTTTTGCTTTAACTTTTTGAATCTGTTCTCGATCGCGAGTAATATCGTGAAGATCGAAATCGAGTTGTTTCTTCTCTGTGAGTAATCTCGAATGTTTTTCTTCAAGATTTTGATTTTCTTTCGTCAGTTCTTCGAGAGAAATTCGAAGACGTTGATTTTCATTAATCGCTGATTGAATATCGTTACTAAGCTTAAAGATTGATTCCTGATTCTTCTGCACGATGGTATCGAGTCTTTCTTGTAAAGTTTTGTTATTCAATGCAGCGTTTTCGAGCGACCGATTGAGCTTCTCAATTTGTTCATCGTATCGTTTACTTTGTTGTTGAATGATTTCTTGTTTTTTGTTTAATTCCACTTCGTGCACTTGGTTCAGTTCATTGATTTTCATTTCTAGTTCTTCGTTCTTATCGCGTAGAACTTTAACTTGTCCACAAATGGTGATTGGATCGAGTAATTGATGTAACACACGAGCATTTTCAAAAGTTGCTGCGATCGTCTTTTTCACTTCATCCAAATTTCGATAACGAACAAATTCATTTTTGATTATCTTACTACCGGTTTCCTCGTCGTCGATCATAATTTCTCTCGTTTCGGCATAGATTCGAACATGCGGAGCAAAGCGAAGAATTCCATCGCGATAAACAAAAAGTACGGGAATTGTCAAATTTGTGCAATATTCATAAATTCGAGGTAGTTCACCGAGTGCACTATCACGAGGATTACTCGCACTGATCAGAAAAATCACACCATGTACTTCTGACCGTCCGTGAAGTGCTCTCTGCCATTCACCGGGATTTTTGTAGTTAATTCCTAACATATCATTTAATTCATAATGACGAGAAAATTCATCGACGAAGAATGAACCCTTTTGATTGTCTTTGATTAGACAACCAGCACGTCCATCACTTGTATCAAAATGCACCCCACAACTTTCATTAAGTAATGTTGTCTTGCCGACTCCTTCTAATCCAATCAGAATTAATTTACAAATTTCACTGGCATTTCCATTGAAAACTGTCACGTCTGTATTTTGACTCATTATCTGCGAGGAAAAAACACGATACTTTTCACCACTCGATTTTTTTTTTCGCAATACTTACTAACGTGCGTATATTTTATATATATATTCTTTCTTTCTAACGCTTTTTTACACGTGGTCTTACGTGAGAAAGAAAACAGATGAAGTCAAATGACTGCAGTATTTGTAATCATCAATACAAATCGCAGATGTCGTATTTATTTTTCTCGTAAGCCAGAAAATACCGTTTTTAAATTATAAGGATTGAAATCTCAAATGGCTTGTAATACCATTCGGTGAGTCAGAAAAGAACGACCTAAAATAGCAGGCTTTATTCTCATTTTGTCCATCGTTAGTCGGAGTCCGTCGCATCTATCATTCGATTTCTGTTCGAATATAGATGCAGGGACGAAAAACTGTGCTCAAAACAACACTGACAGGATGCATTATTTTTCAAGAGTAAAACTAGGAGACATTTGGTATGGCAGATGTTTCTTGCTTTGAACTGCGCTTACAACTTAATGGTAAAAAAGCATTCACTTTAATTTCAATCGTCCGATTTTACTTCTTCGTTCAAAACGGAACAAATTCTTTTTATCTGGTTGACGTCAACTAAAGTTCTCAAAGCTGTTATTATCAATACACTTTGTTCATTACAGTTTGCGCGAAGAGCATGTTTGATAAGAAATCTTTTTTCTATCTGATTTTCGTTCACTACATCATTGCAGCGCCGCAGATAAATCTCTATTTTACAACGGATGAAGTAAGTGAAAGTGAATATAATGATGATATAGGAATAAGATACAACTGTCTGCGACTTCCTTCGAATTTACAAGATGCAAGTATAACTCGACAGATCTCATCGTATTGCATGAGCGAATCATCAAGACAGTTTCACATTGAACATGATATACCGTCACTCTCATTTGCTGATCTTGCAAAAAAGAACATCACAAGTGAAAATTTATATATTTGGTCAGCACCACTAGACATTGTTGAACAATACCAAATGTATTTAGAAACGAACGATTCCTCCTTAGAAAAACAAAGCTTCTACAATTGCACGTTACCAAGATTTGGACCAATGTGTCAATATGAATTGTACTACTACCATGATAATTATTCCTCTTTATACGAAATTGTTCATAATTATTATAAATCCTATTATCATCAATCAATTACAAAGACTTGTTACATTCATCTGACATGCCGTCGTGGTTATTCGCCAGCATGTTTAGATTGGACTGAGATTTGTGATGGTAAAGTTGATTGTATTGACGGAAATTATGATGAAGACCATTGTTGGCAACTTGAATTGAACGAATGTGAACAGGATGAGTACCAATGTGTGAATGGACTATGTATACCGCGTGAATTTGTTCGCGACGGTAATCTGTATCTTGATTGTATTGACACATCCGATGAAAATTTTAAAAGAACTATTGATTCTCGGCTGCCAAAGGTAGTCGAGCCAGCTTTTGGAATTGATGATATCGTGTGTTACGATAAGTTTATTAGCAGCTCTTGTATTTCAAAATATGAACGCTTAACCATGGAATCGATGTTTTCAGGCAAGGACCGTTCAGTGTCAGACGAATGTTGGACAGCTTTTAAATGCTATTTTGCTTTTTCAACTCCACGGTATCCCAAGATCACTATCACGATTATCAATGAAGAATGTATACCTATCATCAGAAAAGAGTGCCCAGCTACATTATATGTTCCCAATATTCCCATTTTTTTTGGTCATGTTTATACGGCTTTTAAGAAAAATGAGTTGACTACTTCTTTAGTTCCATCAGTGCCATATTTATGTTCGAACAAATATTTTTCTCATAGTTTTGCACTAGATTCTTTATTGAACGATACAACGTGCTTTAAAGCTGCTAGGTGGACGCAAATAGTCCTGCTTGATGATTTATCTCCTGTTTTCCGATTTAGTACTTTTATGGAAATGACCTTTCAACAAGTTAAACTATTTCAACCGATAGTTAACTTTCCAATCGATCAATATAATCAATCTAACGTCTATCAATGTTCAAATTCATCAAAATACATCCCATTTCATCGTTTACTCGACGCTGTATTTGATTGTCCTTACAAGGACGATGAAAATATAATTGAGCATATCGATCCTCATCTACTGACGCAATTCCAAAATAAATATTACAGATGTCATATGACCAACAAATATATCACTCGATCCGCAATATTGAATGGAAAATGCGATTGTGGATTTGTTAATCAGTCATGCGAAGATGAAAATCTATTCGATAACTTTACTCGCCGAACCATATCTTTTCAGACGATGTGTGATGGTTTCCAAGAGTTATATCCAATTACCATCGACGGTCAAAATCAAACGGATGAAACTCAATGCGAGCCATGGGAATGTGATAATATGTACACTCGATGTGATCAAATATGGAATTGTTTAGACGGAAAAGACGAAATGAATTGTGACAATACACCACCATTACTCAATTGCTCTTCGGATTCTCGAATGTGTGTCACGTTAGACACATATCAGCTGATATGTTTGCCACTTCGTCAAATCAATGATGGTCAAATTGATTGCCTTGGTGGTACTGATGAACGAATGTTATGTCGATCTCCCTATTCGTATAGAGATGCAGAATTTTACTGTGTGATTCATAAAAAGCGTCCACCATGTATCCAATCTTATGCTTTATGTGATGGCAAGAAGTTATGTGCAGATAAAGAAGATGAACGATTTTGCAACAAAAATCGATCATTTCCGTTGAACACTGGGATTTGCAATGACAAGTACAAACCATTGAGAACTGATGTTGAAAAGTTCTTATGTGATACGATTAAAGGTAGACAAAAGGCAAAAATAAAACATTTTCGAATAACCGGATTTTCTCGATCATCTGATCATGAAATCAATGAAAAGAAGAAGCCTATTAATCAAATCACTTTAAACAACAAGAAGCCACTTCCACTCTTGAGTGTTCCTCGTTGTCATCGTGGTCTTGATGTACGCGTTTGGTTGAACCAATCATCTAACTTCTACACAAGGACATGTTTTTGTCCTCCTACTTACTATGGAAAGCAATGTCAATACCAAAATCAACGTGTCAGTGTAGTAATGAGATTTCATGTTCCAGCGCAGTCGCGACGAACTCTATTCGCGATTCTAGTTATGCTTATCGATGATTCAAGTCAACGGACTGTTCATTCCTATGAACAATTTACCTATTTATCCATTCGAGATTGCAAGATTAAATTTAATTTTTACTTACTTTATTCAACTCGACCTAAACGTTCAAATCGGAGTTATTCAGTTCATATTGATGTCTATGAAAGGTTCTCTCTTACATATCGAACGAGTTTCATCTATCCTGTCAAATTCTCCTTCTTACCAGTTCATCGCTTGGCATTCATTGTGAAAATTCCATCCGACGAATCTTCACGTGAGACTTGCTCGGACAAGGAATGCCTCCATGGAAAATGTATGAAGTATGCTAACACACAACACAGTTTTTGTCAATGTCACCGAGGATGGATGGGAGCGTCTTGTGATATTCCGTATAATTGCACTTGCTCGTCGAATTCATTATGCGTTGGTGTATCGAGTTATAATCGATCGATTTGTGTCTGTCAAGAGAATTATTTTGGTTCTGAATGTTATCTTCGAAATCGAATCTGTGACGAATCTCCATGCGAAAACAATGGTATATGTGTAACCCATAGTGATCTCACACTGACCAATCAGAAGTATTTTTGTATTTGTGCCAAAGGCTTTAGCGGACGTCAGTGTCGATTAATCGATACTCGGATTAAACTGATCTTTGAAAAAAATATTGATTTGTCTCATTCAGTTTTCATTCATTTTGTGCGAATTACTCCATTTGATGAATTCCAAAAGAACATTCCAAAATCTTCACCACAACGATCAACCAAATTACAAACGATAACTCAAGCAAGCAATTCCCTTCGACTCTACTGGTCAGGCCCATTTCATTTAACTTTTATCGAAACATTACATAGAACATATTATTTAAGTGTTATTCAACCGATTTACAATCGTTCAATCGGAATTACGCGTCAAGTTCGTTCGTCTGATCGTTGTCCATCAATTAACGAATTAGCCAATGAAACATTTGCTCGTCTTCATGTACTTCAGCGAATGAAATCGTACCATTTGATTTGTCAGGCATCACCTAATCTCGAATGTTTTCACGATGATATTCACCTTTGTCTCTGCTATGATCATCAGAACAAACGCTTAGCGAATTGTTTCAATTTTGATCATCAGATGAAATTCGACTGTTTCGGACGAAACCATTGTGAGAACGATGGGCAATGTTTTCAGGATTCGCCCGATTGCCCAAAACAGTCGATTTGCGTTTGTCGATCGTGTTACTACGGAAGTCTGTGCCAGTTTAGCACAAAGGAATTCGGCCTATCACTCGATGCGATTTTAGCTTATCATATCATCCCCGGCGTGAATATTTTTCAACAAACATTAATTGTGAACATCAGCTTTTCACTCACAGTTCTTTTTATACTCGTTGGGTTAATCAATGCCGTGGGTTCTTTTATCACATTTAAGAATAAGACTGTTCTGAAAGTTGGTTGTGGTGTGTATTTATTAGGTTCGTCGATAACGACAATCTTGACGATAGTTTTGTTTGCAATGAAATATTTTGTTTATCTTTCGACACAAATCTCCACGTCTTCCAATCGAATCTTTTTACAAATTCAATGTCATTCGATAGACTTTCTCCTTCGACTTTGTCTTAACATGGATCAATGGCTGAATGCATGTGTTTCAATGGAAAGAGCAACGATGACTATTCAAGGCGCTCGATTTGTAAAGAAGAAAAGTAAGGATTTAGCGAAAAAACATCTGATTCTTCTGTTGATTTTAATGGTGTTAACATCCATTCATGATCCACTTCATCGAAGTTTGCTGCAAGAAGAGAACGACAGTGATGATGACACAAAACGAATCTGGTGCGTTGTCAAATACTCTTCAAGTTTACAAACTTATAATCGAATTGTGAACACGTTTCATTTCTTCGCTCCATTTCTCATCAATTTCACTTCATCGATTGTTTTGATAATAACAAAGTCTCGACAAAAACTTCGTTTTCGAGAAGATCAAACTTATAAACGTGTGTTACACGAACAAGTTCGTGAACATCAACATTTACTAATTGCACCTGTTGTTCTATGTCTTCTCGCTTTGCCACGTTTGATACTTTCATATGTATCGAAATGTATGAATTCGTCTAAAGATTCGTGGATATTTCTTATTGGATATTTCATCTCGTTTATTCCTACGGTGATCACATTTCTCATCTTTGTTTTACCGTCAAAATTTTATAGAACAGAATGTCGAAAGAGTATAACACAATACCGAAACCAGATTCAACAGCGTTTTCGTCGAACACAATAACTATTATACTTAACACGTACTGAATTCAATGTGACTAAGGTCTCTTCTATCCTCTTCTTGGCTTCTGTATACGTGCAATGCAATAATAAGATAAAAAACGCGATGAAATTTCAAGTTCAATAAATAATCGTTCACAAGCACTTATTCAAATTCGCTGTGCTCCCTAAAGAATGTACACATGAATTAGAGCTTAAAATGAATAACTTGACCGAATGAGATTTAGTGCAAACAAATGATATAAAGTGAAAAAGACTTTTAAAGATAAAATAGTACAATAAACAAGATTAATGACATAAGTGCTCACACTCATCGTTGATCCGCCATTTGTTGTTGGACAATGATTATGAATCAGCACAAAGGGCGAGGGTGAGCTGCAAGGGGGAAAAAGCAGGACTTCGGACTTCAGAAGTCCAAAGAAGTCCACAGAAGTCCAAAGAAGTCCACAGAAGTCCAAAGAAGTACGTTTTGTACTTCTTCATTTTATCACCAATATATTTTAGCTTCATACTCGAGCAAAGAAGGTGACATCAGCGAAAGAGAGCGAAGAGAGAGAAGAACGAAGAAAAAGTAACCTTCGTGGGACTCAAACCCACAACTTCTGCTATCCGGGCAGATGTCATAAGCCATTTAGATTAGAAGGACCAACTTAATCTCTAGTTTAACTTTGTATGATTCATACAAACGCTAGCAATATAGAACAAAAGTGTCTTGTTATTGGGGATAGAATTCTTATCACCTATAACATCAGATCATTTTGTTTCGTTTGTGGGATGAAATTTTTGATATAAGCCTATATAATATATACCAATTTAGTTATCATGAGATGCAGAGAAGTACAAAGAAGTACGAAGAAGTCCAGAGAAGTCCAAGGAAGTACGGAGAAGTCCAAGGAAGTACAAAGAAGTACGAAGAAGTACCGTGAAGTACAACGAAGTAAAGAAGTCTGCTTTTTCCCCCTTGGTGAGCGGTAACGTAAGTACAATAAAGTCCAATATAAGTAAAGAAAAGTTGCGCTCTACCTCACTTACATAAAGATAGTTTTTTTTAGAGGAAAAGACATAGTCACTACTTTTATACTACAAGCTAAGTGAAATAGATTTTTGTCTAAGAGAACTGGAAGTACATTATTAAACGACTTCAAGAAAGTAAACTTCAAACATTTTTGCAGGCAAAAACGGATTATTTCCATCACAATCAGCTACCACTTCAATTTGACTTCCCATCCATTCACGAATGCACCATTCTTCTTGTTTCTTAGTTGTTGAACCTCCATTTTCAATATATGAGAGTCTTTGTGGTCGTTTTTTGTCAAACTTGAATCTGGCCACAGTAGGATCAGTAAGATTGCATTCGTGGCCTGTCGTCAAAAATTTGAACGTTGCAAAAACAGCTAGAATACATGCAAAAAGTAAATGATATGCGAAAGAGGAAACTACTGTAGTATTCTAATCAATGCGTTAATATTCTACTGATGCACCACCTATACTCCAGTTTCTTTCTGAGTATTAGAATGACTCTTTTCTCCCAACGAACACGATATAATTCATGTTCATTTATATAGCTTTCTCTCGTGACATATCACTGTAGTCCTGCCGAATCTAAAGAAGATCATCTGTGCGACAACAGAAACCTTTTACGGATCCTAACGGCTCTCAGAAATCGTGACTTCCATCGGCTCAACAACAAAGATTCTCACGTTTATCGTCCACAATGTCAACTTTTTCCGTTTGAACTGTGGTTTTGACACATTGACCAGTTTCTACATGCCACACAATACCAGGATTTCCAATTAGCATAAATATTGAAGCGGCACTTAGACATTCCTCTTTTCGAATTTCAGGTGTTGAAAATCCAGGGAGCATCACCCCAACTAGAGAATACAACAGTGTTTTCTTAAGGAAAAGCACAAGGGCTATTTTATTCATACCTTTATAATGTTCTAATTGATTATCCAAAGTGACATAACCATAAAGCTTTTTCAAATCCTCGCCAACCGCGCATGATGTGTTCTGCAAATCTTCCATGGTCGTCCAGCGAAATATGTGAATTTCTTCGCCTGATGCGGTAAAGATCGGTACAACAGCCACTAAGCCAAAGTAAAACATAAACCATTGCAGGATAATAATGTAAACCATTGTGTAACTCATCATAGTACAAATCTACCAGATGCAATGTGCTATATTCTATATAAGAAAGTCCAATGAAATAAATATCGATTCAAAACAACAAAGGGATTGCAAATCTATACAGACTGATAGATCTCATCAAAGTGAATATTTTCATACTCTTTGCGATTGATATAACGGGTGGATCGAAAGTTTTGATACAAAATATTTGCTCATTTTTTGACTCACACACTTTTTTTCTATACCGTGATTTATGATGAATCGACTTTTGAATAGAAGCTACTGTTTCTATAGAAAAAATAGCGTACCGATAAGATGAACAAGACGATCGATCAAAGTATGTGTCTGATGACCGATTGACCGGTTGACCGATAATAGCTGCTCGGGCACTGCATCTCTCTCTCTTTCCTTTGACTGTATGCATCTTCTATATTATAAAAATGTGTGCTGCGGTATAGGAATAGCATTGCATATCGAGAATAGCGCCTACGTTTCTCCTTCAGCTTCTGATAAAAATACACATGAAAATTGTCTACATACCGTCCAAATTAAATTGTAATACTTTTCAAATTTTTTTCCAGTATTCTCAAACAAAAACTGACAACACATTTCTAAGCACGTATTTGTATCTGGTTTTGACTTTTCTTAAATGTTTTTTGGGTGTGAATCAAAATATTCATTTTGATGATCTGACTCATGGCCGCAGAAGGCTTTGTTCTTACATGTCAGACAAATCCACTGTATCGACCTTGTACTGGTCAAAGAGCTTATCATCTCAAGGGAAAAATACCCTTGATGTTATTTTCATTTCATCAACCGAGAAACAATTTGGTCACCTAGTTGTTCCAGTGCTGAATAGATAGCAGAAATAATCTATATGTTTCATAAATATTTAATTAAGTAATTTCGAGGCGACAGATCAACCTTTACCTATATATAACAACTTACTATGGGTTGCTGAGTAGCTGTTGTTTGTAAATGAAATACTATATCATATGGTCTCACTTCTTTTCTATGTATGTCTCTTGCACATTGTTCTCTCGAGTGAAAGGAGGGTCATATGAAAACAAAAAATGTTCGTGTATATGTATGTTTGTATCAGGGTCAAAGGTCAAAAAGACATCCTTAGAAACAGTTCACACGCTGAAAAGCTGAGGATAAGGTACGGGTGACACGAATGAAAGTTTATAAAACGAAATCATCTTTCATCTATCTTATCAATGATTATGAACTAAATGAAAATAGAACTTCAAAACAACGTTGAACTAGAAATTAAGGATAACAAAAGTGAACAAGGATGTGGCTTCGTATATAAGTTGGAATGCAATGTTCTTGTTTTATTTTTAAAAAATGTGGTCGAATAGAATTCAGAGCCGGAAAATCGGTCAACTAGTTTGTTTCGTCTTTGACCTTTGTATGAAACACCCTCACTCTCACTCTCTAGATCGAATCATCCAATTGAAGTCTGTTGATGACGAAGAATATAAATAGTGTCTCAATCATACTCTACGTTTTTCTATTACGCAATTAACTATTCACAGTAGATTGAGCAAGAGGAGTATGTTCCGCTTCAAGTTTCGAATAAGGTCCTTTGTAAATAAATAATGCTAACGCACTAATAGCAAGCATAGAAAGTACAAAAATAGATGCAGGCGTAAAAATAACACTTAATTGCTAAACAGGTGCCAATTTGATTAACTATTCTAGAAGAAAGGTAAAACCAGCAGCAATGACATTATCGAAACATAAAAGTAAACCAGTTGACCATTCACCAGCACATTTAAATGAAATTGATAATAGTAGAAGCAAGAAAAATCCTAAATAGACGAATGGAAAATCCCGATGGATAAAGCATATTTAGTCGAAGTATCAACGCAAAGAGCACCACCATAATGCACAAGCACCGAGTAGCAGAATTTTTGAGTAACAATTAATACGCATGTGTACGATACAAGATGAAGCTGAGTATGGCGGCACTTAGTAGACCAGCTATAAGAAGTAAAGCTCCAAATATGCCGGCATTTTCATTTTAATTTCCACCCGGTTAAATAAATGGATCTAAAATTGTTATCATAGAATTGATCGTTGCCATTTCAAGTGAAAAGCCGAATAATAATGTAAAACAATGCCTGTTCGTGAACAGATTATACAAATTTTGCTTGATACTAATCGGCTGATGATGTTCTTCGGATGGAGATGGTGATTCAGCTCGAAAGAAGATAAGAATTAAATGTACGCTCAGTGTTGTAAATGCCGCTTTACTAGTTAAAAGAATAAACAATGAACGAGTTGTTACACCAGCTGTGACAATTACAGACAGAAGAACACAACCAATTGCAATAGCGATACCACGTTAATTTGGAGAAATCCAACGTGCAGAAAACAACGTAATGGTATTCAAATACCAATGTGCGCCAATCGCTGCAAAGGTTTGACCGAGAAAAAGAAATGAATAGCCATGGCTTGGTGAAATCAGGTCACATAAACGAATTCAAACAACTAAACTCAATATCGAACTAATGATTATGCCAGTATACATGGAGATCGTCGATGTGTCCATATCGACAGAGCACTTCCCTGAATAAACAGGAAGAAGACCACGGTTAAACTATTGACAGCTGTCGATGATATATGAAAAAACGTTGCTGTCATTGTTATGATTAGAACAAAGGTCATATTATGAATGTATTGGCCAATGTTGCCAGAAAATAGATCAACAATTGAATCCATCGGATACCATAAACACGATAAATTCTTATCTCATTTTCACTCAGGCTCCTCTTTTCGATTCTATAAGATAAATGATATGAAATATCAAGCGCACAGTATTTCTTATCCGTATCATAAACAGCAAAGACCGAATTTCTCTATATTGTGTCAAAGAGCAAACGAAGTACGGATTTCCTATTTAATATTCGACTATTATTTGCATCAGAAACATAGAGATTGTGTTTGTTATCAAATGCTAAGTCATTTGGACAATTCAACTGATCTGTTTGTTCTCCTTGTCTATATTCGCCAACGACTCGCCATTTTACTCTGTTGCATCTGTCATCCATTTGACCATTCGATGATTATCTCTATCTGTAGCATAAAGTAACTCATTTTCATCGATGAAAATAAAAATCGAAGTATGAAATTGATTCAATATCCCAACAGTCGATGTTCGAAACGAGAATTTCCTCCTTTCGTTCAATTTCTTAGACGATTTTCTGAATCGCAAATAATCAACACATTGTTTTCGCTACCAGCAACGAGAACGTTTTTATTTTTAGTAATCAAAATTCCTCCAAGATTGGTTAATTCACTAAAATTTTTGTTCGAACTATTTCCACTGACAACCACAATCCCATTTTTGGCTTTTGTTCTTCATTTTCTCTAGAACGGATTGCGAAGTTAACTACGCATATATCCTATGAACAAATCCACATACTGATTGACGATTTGTTTTTCAATTCAATCGTGATGCGATTTCTCCCAGATCTTCGTATAAACTTGGATATCAAGAATCATGGATTGCGATATTGTATTGAGAAATCTACCGAGATGCTTTTCCACTAGAGCGAATCGTCCCATGTGGGATGAAGTTCCTCTAAACCCCGAAGATTTGTCTCTTCATCGCCAATCTGCTGCGTCATATATGAGAGATCATGTCTCAAGTTATATTCATCAACATTGCGAAACGTCATTAGAATAATGGAGAGATCCTTCCCATGGTGATTCACGATATTTGAAAATGACTTCATGGTTATCATATATGGATGATCAGTGATTTCGAATTGATTGAGACACTTATTCAAAGCATATAATTCGTCTTTAGTCATCATTTGACTCCGATATACTTTCGAGGCAGCTTTTGATTAATTATAATTATCGAATTGTTTGTAGATATCGTAGATAAACGAGCGAAACTTGTACGACAGATGAATTTTTTCATTGCGTAAGACAGAATTTTGTGTTTTGTGAAAAAATGTCTCTTCCGTGTGCGAATACAATGCGTTCGTTGATGAATGTATCTCAGAATTCCTTGATGCTCAACAATCCGATCAGATCTATTAGATCTGACTTTTAGCCAATAATCAATCAAGATTTGTATGAAAACGAACTGACCACTCAGTCTGATTGTTGATCGGCCTGATATTGTAGTAAAAGTACAGATGGCTAAGAGTTCTCCGACCCTCTTTTGGATTACATAGTTTTGATACAATTTCGTAGATTTGCTTATTTCCACAATAAACATAAATGGAGATTACTTGTCGAAGTTTATGCATCGATGAAACTAGTTTTTTCCCGAATGGACCGTTGACAATGATGATTAGATGATCGTTTTCTGTTGTTCCTTCGATATATTCTTGACAGTCCTGAAGATTATTTATAATTGGGCATATTTTTTTCTGTATGACGTATTTCGGGGAGATTAGTGTCAAGCCATTACTGTTAAAATCGATAGAGAACATGAAAATAGAAAGATTCCGTTAGTGACGCGTTATCAACGATGCAGACTAGTGAACTCAAATCTTTGTTGCATCAGTTAGTGTGTCAACGATCAGATTAATGCGTGGGAACGAATAATAATAGAGAAAAAAGCTTGTATTCGAGTTTATTTACCAATAAATGAAATATCGCACACAAAAGTAAGATAGGAAAAAGATTGGATCATGCTTTTCTATGTATTCATGCAAAAACCGAAGCAAACATGCACAGGAGTAAAACACGAAGCGCGGCTGGAATAGGTCCAGCCGTATTGCAGAAGTCTTTATCCTGACAACAACATATTGTACCTTTTGCACCACGGTTATCACCTGTCAGGCATGTGTTCATAGTCGGACAGGCTAGTTGTGGATGTTGATTAGAAATTAGATCTCCACCACGTATTATACCATGATGATCGCCCATCTCCGCTTTTATTTTCTAAAGAGCAACTGTATGTGAGCAAGAGCACTAAGAATGCTTTCTTCTCTTACCCAACAATATCCACTAGTTGAATTCACTCTTGTAACACCGGTTGCGGTGGAACTAAATGTATCACCGCATTTATGATCTTTCTCATCGGAACATGAGTAACATTGTAGGCCTGGTGTTGGGAATGGAAAGGATCCTTTTATAGGAAAAAAAGAAAAAGCTGCAGTGTTGTAGTTTTAATCTGATGCAAGAAGACTTACCGAGAAGAAAAAGAAGAAAAACGATTCTTTTCATGTGAGTGCTTATCGTACCGAACAGGGTTGAGAAATGAACACTTGTTAAAAATTTGTTTCTCATACTGGTAGGTGTTGAATGTTAGCTTTGTTATCTGATATATCTAATTTCAAAATATTAAACAGCATTGCAAATATTTAGATTTATTTAAGCTTGAGTTTAGACATGTCACTGATATTTGAAAGAATAATGAACTACATGAATAATTACATATACAAAGAGAATAGTTTAGATTATGTTTCGTACAACGCATATGGTTGGAAAACTTTGTTAGGAATATATCAGTCAGATGGTTTCTGATACTATCGGCACAAACGATAGACTCTCTAGATAATATTCTCTGGAGAAACATGAATGTAAAAAGTGTAAAGATTATATTCACTTTCTAATGTTATCAAAAGAATACTTGAAATAGTTTGATAAGGGCAAGAGAGAGTACGGTAAGATGAATTCGATTAGCAGTGGATCTTGTTGGACATGTCAAGTCACTGGACCAATCGTCACTACCAACACAAGTTTTGCAAATAAATAGATGACATGGATCAACTGAATTTTTGATTGATTTTAATCGACTGTGGATCTTCCGATTACCGAAAAACTTCTCTTCTCAGTTTGGTTCATTCGGATCTGCTTCGTTGACATAACAATTCGAATGTTCGCCTGTAGCAACCGATTCAAGAATATTGATTTGTTCTCGAAGACGTGAAGAGGGTAGTATTGTCGATCTGCATCTGATGTCTCTTCAGACCAACTGTGTGTATAAAATACATTCATAAGAGCTGTGCCTCATGCTGGACTAATACTGTTGTTTGATTTTTACTTCGACCTCGGATTCGTACGAGTGCATCAGCAATTTGATCCGACTGATTGCGCACGATTGCCTCTTGAATGAGACGAGAACTTTCGATGGCATTGCTACCGAAGAAGTTGACTGAAGGTTTTCGCTGGATGAATTAATCATAGAAGGATGGAAATGATTGAATGTTACTGGTTGCAAATGGTAAATCTGTATCGTTCTGAATTAGCTGATCAAATAGTTGAGTAATCGTAGTTTAATCTCAATTCGTTACAAGAAATCCAATGGTAATATTTGTGTCTATCACATAAAAATAACCAGCACAGTCAGCATCGGCTAGTGTAGGTAGAAAGCAAATAAGGTCTCGAATGAAACTCCCATAGCGTGTTTCATTCTGCATAGAAATAACGTAGTAAATGCTAATCACTGGTGGCGATAAAAACGTGCGTAAGACTGCTGAGAGTACAACAGCATAACTTCCACGACGCAATACCCAAAAAATCTTTATTTTTACAAGCATTGATTGTCTGCCGTTGTCCATCAGTAGTCACAACATCAAATGAAAGAATTTCATCTGCATCCACATCCTTTCAACGTGACAATGACGCATGCCCATCGTCTTGCAAATACACACTGATTGCTGTCAGATTATGAGTTGCCAACCAAGCATAGACCTCACCCCATTGTACACCAGTGCTCAGTCAAATAGCATTCTGAACTTGTTCACCAGTACACGACATAAACTCTGGAATTAGATCTCTACTTTTCATATGATGAAGTCAGAGAAGTAGAGAACCTGCAACCGTTAATCGACCCAAACAGCAATGGCCAGTATTTTTCACTACTAGCCGAAAATTGTGTTCAGCAATGAAATGTATTGTTGCCTGCACATGTTCTGTAGTTGTAGCATTGACTCCTAATCGAGGAAAATCTCCTTGAATACGCATGATGTTGTTTGACGAGTCTAACGAGCATGAAACATTTTCCCAATTGTAATGTCGAATAGCTCCAATTTGATCACTATACCACATAGCACTTGCTCATTGAGCCATAGTACAAAGGGTCGTATTCGGAGAATTTTTATCACATCGTGAAGCGGATGGTTGAACTATAATCAATCGTCCATCGATAGACTCATTGAAAGTTCGCCATGTTGAAGTATTTGGCCAACAATTCGAATTGATTGACAAACATCGACAACATATTTCTTGAAAATCGTGATGAAAAGATGCAAACATCAGTTCAAAAAAGAACTACCTGTCAGACTTAGGTGCCGACCAAGAATAACGAGAAAGGAAAAACGTTAAATCTGTTTATCAACATGGTATACACGGTTTTACCCAGTGAAAACTGATGATAAAAAACATCGTGATAAAAGAACAGCCATACACCATTTAGGACAAAGATTGCTGAACATGAAGGTTGGATATGTACAAGCTGCTGTAGCATAATGGCAATGCGACGGTTTGTGGCACCGTCTACCAAGGTTCGATTCCTTGCAGTGGCAAAATACTCTTTTTACTAATTTCATCATTCATTAGATAGTAACAAGTGATTATGATGCATGAATGACTCACTTTGCATAGTCATTGCGCAAGATCGGATCAGAGTATTTCTTTTGACAACGAGAAATCGAGAAAGGAATTTTTCGTTTAATTTGAAGACGATATGGCGATGTAGGTCTTTCTTGTTAGACTGAAAAGAAAATTTAAAAAAAGTTTTTTTCATCTGAGTCATTTCAGATGGTACAAAAAAACGCATAGTTATAAGCACCCTGATATCGTGAGAATCAAGATATTTCTCTTGTGAGAAAATGTAATAATTGTGTATTAACCGGAAGTATAGATTAACTTTTTTCTGCATGAATCGAGAGTTGGTTTTATGCTGTTTCTGATTAGTCACGAATGGAAAAAGAACAAATTTGTTTGTTTCAAAATAATTTAATTTGAAGATCACCTATTTTTACTGTCACGTCGCTAACACTAATGCACACGATTTTTTGGAAAATTTAAATATAGTCAGGAAAAAACTTGAACAGCTATTTTGTAGCTTCGAAAACCATCTACAAAAGATACCATTAGATTTTTGAAAATAGTGTCTAAGTTCGCAGAGTTTTGAAATTAAAATGCTCATAGTGGAACTTCATGTCCTTTTTTTGAGTCACGTCGCTAACGACAAATTTTTAGGAGCAGTTTCTACTAGCAAGGTTTTCCAGTACGGAATTTTTGCAAGATATATAAGATAACTTAGGATACATGTGGTGTAAAAAAATCAGCTCGAGATGAATTCCTTATCCAGATATATACATATTGAAAGTATACGATGTCACGTCGCTATTAAAATGATTTTCACATATACTCATCTACAGAACGCATGAAAAGAAAAGGTAATCGGAAATGTACCGAGCTAGGAACAAAGAGCATGCGCACAACGCGTGCAACCTAGATCGTCACAGATAGTGAGTCAGCAAATGTTATTTTCCGTTTATGACTAATCTTAAATTCTATATTAATGACACATCTATTGGTGCAAAAGCATTTTCGGCAAAAGACTACGTTCTCGATAATTTGCATCGTTCATTTTCTTTAAGACTATTGAAGCGAAAAACAATTCAACTATAAATACATCAATCAATATGAGTGATATTTCATTTTCATTTCGAAAATATCAAATATGGTTTCAATCTACCAACTTGCTATCTATATCATTGGTCTTCACAGTGTTTATACACTTAAATGTTATATATTAGCTCCTGATGCAAATGGTATAAATGTCCAAATTCCTGTGGATAACAGCAATATGGCAAATATATGTAATAGTACTGTACCGTGTGCATGTGGTAGTGGTAAAATGGAATGTGCGAGTTATAGCACTGTATGCACAGCTATTGGAAATCAAAAACGTACCACTAAATGGATTTACACTGTTACGACCAAAGATATCTGCGCGCAGATGACAGCTATAGCATATTTTGAGAGAAGCAAGTTATGCTGTTATACAGACTTATGTAATAATCAAACAAACGGTGCTACTTCATCTAGAATACTCGATGTAATTCCAACATTAATTATTTTTCACAATCTCTCGAATATAATTTAATATGCAGGAAAACTACGGCGATGAAACTTCCAATCTTGATGGTTTTATTTACTCATCTGTATTTTATCTTTGTTTTTTTTAAATTTATCCAATGAACGTTGAAAAAGAATTTTTTAATTACACAGCGAGATCTGCTGATTATGATTGATGCTAAAACGTTTTATTTGTAAATGTGAGCAGATGATTATTTGTATGCGATGATATAACAACTTCACTCTCATTCGAGTAGTATTTGATACTTGCTCACCAGTACACAATGTGTACTGTAGAATGAAATCTCTACTTTCCATATGATCAAGCCAGAGAAATAAAGAATCAGCGGCCGTTGATCGACCTAAGTAATCCTGACCTGTACTGTTTTTCTGTTAACCGAAGATTACTCAGCAGCGAAACGTACTATTGCTCGCACATGTTCTGTAGTTGTAGCATTGCTTCAATTTGTTCACTGCACCATATGGCGAAGCGGACGGTTGAACTATAATCAATCGTCCATCGTCCATCGATAGATTCATTGAAAGTTCGCCACGTTGACGAATTTGGCTAACGATCTGAATTGATTGACAAACATCGACAACGTAATTCTTGAATATCGCGATCAAAAACGAATCGGAAATGTAATTTTAAGAAATATCTACCTGTCAGACTTAGGTGCCGACCAAGAATAATGAGAAAGAAAAAACGTTAAATCTGTTTATCAACATGGTATACACGTTTGTACCCAGTAAAATTGAAGATAAAAACATCGTCATAAAAGAACAACCATACACCATTTAGGACAAAGATTGCTGAACATGAAGGCTGGGTATGTACAAGCTGCTGTAGCATAATGGCAATGCGACGGTTTGTGGCACCATCTACCAAGGTTCGATTCCTTGCAGTGGCAAAATACTCTTTTTACTAATTTCATCATTCATTAGATAGTAACAAGTGATTATGATGCATGAATGACTCACTTTGCACGCAGTCATTGCGCAAGATCAGATCAGAGTATTTCTTTTGACAACGAGGAAATGAAAAGAAGAATTTTTCGTTTAATTTGAAGACAATATGATGACGTAGATCTTTCTTGTTAGACTGAAAAGAAAATACGTAATCTTGTTTCCTATCTGAACGATATCTTGAACAATTGAATACATATCAATTTCAACAAGATCAGTATTGTGAATAATAATAAAAAATATTGAATAGAACTCGCGAGAGATCAGAAGATAGAGGTTTGGATCCTGATGAAACATTAACTGCAAACCTAATTTTACAATATTTTAATGCTGGTAGTTGTGTTCATGCAGCTATCTGCCCGTAAGCGACTGTTACCCATGTGATTAAAAAGCTTATGATGATGGAAATCATTTTATTTATCGATTCTTTCCCATTCAAATAAAAAGTCTCGGAGGTGTTCTCATCAGTGTTCCATACAGGGTCTTTTCTCACAAAATACGATTATAACTCCTGGGAAACTATGGCCATCAGAACAACTGTATAAAAGGATAGAGTTTTTTGTACTCTATTTCATATCAAATCGCTTCCTGTAAAAATACAAGGGGTAAAATACAAAACTAAATATATCCTTGATTGAATATGGCTCAACAATTGTTAGCTGATGCTGTTCAAAGGAGAGTACTCCAGATTCTTACGGAAGATCAGCAGCCATATACTCGTGGACATTTGATCATTAGACTTCAGGAAAACCGACCACCAAATGAAGTATGGCCCAGAGAGATCCAAAACATTGGCGAAAACGATCTTGATCAATATCTTGAACCTTTGCAGAATCAAATCGTTCGTTATCGCAATGATGAGGAACGTCAACCTGGCAATCCGTACTGGTATGCTCTCCGTCAACCAAACGAACCGAATGACACCTTCAATCAACCTTACCGAAGGAATGCTAACAATCAATTCTACATTTGAAACGAAGTCGAGTTAGATTCTTTCGCGTAATTTCTTTTTTTACGTGTTCAATTCATTAATAAACAAGAACTTTTATCTTTAATTTTTGTTCCATTCTAAAAACCGAGAGTGTTCTGTATTCATCATTCATTCAATAGTAACAAGTGATTATGATGCATGAATGACCCACATTGCACGTAGTCATTACGCAATCAGATGAAAGTATTTCTCTTGACCAAGCGAAAAAGAAAAAGAGACTTTTCTTTTAATTGGAACAAAATACGAATGTGTAGGTCTTTCTTGTTTAAACTGAAACTAACGAAAAGTTTTGACTACTTTATTATCGATTTGAATTGGCATTGAACTATCTTTCAACATTGGAAAACAAAGAATACACTCAATATATCAACTTTCAATTGATAAATAGTATTGTCTATTACGTAATCTTGTTTATTATCTGAACGATATCTCAAGCAATGGAATACATACCGATTCCATTAAGATCAGCATTATGAATAATAATTAAAAAATGCTGCATAAAACTCGAGAGATTCAGGAAGTAAAGGTTCGGATTCTAATGTAAGAT